TTCGCCCTATGGGACCAGAAAATCATTTTCATAATTGAGCGTATCAAGTGAGTTTTATTAGATATACAAGCTTACGCTTCTTGACTATCAGATTGTAAGTAGATTTGAATTTGAGCTGCATTATATAGACCGCGAATCGACCTACATGTCATTTCTGTTGAACTTGACGTATGTGTGCCTCTGCGCGCGTAAGATCTTGCTTTAGCCGTCGCAAGAATGGAACTGACGATTTGAATGAACATGCATTGAAACTGTACTATAGTTATGCGGCGTTTGTAGTCATTATTTGCGCCAATCATTTTTTGCTCGCATCAGCTGCAAAACAGTATCTCTGACCCAAATCAAAATTTGATGAAAAACTAATTGGACCATACACGTTTTTCGCGCCGCTTGCGACAAGAAAACAAAATTCAGAAGAAAGCCACCTTAGTAGTTCTCAAAGTCCTCAAGATACGATCTGCCTTTGTAGAAGTCGTCAAAGATTCTCAAGAGAATGCCATGAGGATCTGCTTCATCAAAGTTCATCTCCTAAGGTTGAAGCCGTCTTCATTGAACGGGAAGCATAACATGAGACACTTTCTCGTCTAGTTTAGTGTGGGAATATACTGCAAGTGTTGCTGAGTGATTCAACCTCCAAAAATTATATCATCATCACATTATCGAAGAGGAAAGTGATGTGTTGGTATGGTTTATCTTAAATTACAATTTTTGGGTTGGGCAAAATTTGCATTTCAGTCAATCTCACACAGTATCTTTATCGAACTTTATAATAGGATGAATACTGCGTTGATTTAGCTCTAGCTGCGACCGAGAGGCGATAATCTATTTAGACTAACGTTTCGGCGATAAGGGCCAAAGCGATTTAAAACTACCAGACCAGGCATCTCCTCAGTCCCAAAGGCAGAATTCTTTGCTTTTTATAATCATAAGCAGTTTGCTACACACAGTACTCACTTATCGTTTGCGAGTAAAGTTCTGGGAGATCGCTTAGTGACCGCTTGAGAAGGAAACAACAGTTTTCACAATAGGAGATTGATCCAGATACAACGCGAGTCTTCGCGTGATATGGAGACATTCTTTTTTGAGAATCATCTTGGAGCTTCTAAAATAAATTCAAAAGGCATTTAAAGTTTGCAAGTGGATGTTTGAGCTCTGCGAGCTAGGCAAATTTTATACCAAAACCAACTCCTTGATGATGGAGCGGATGTACGTGATCTATCCTGCCTTTAAGATGTTCCTTAATAGTACGTATGCTTTTACACTAAAACTAACCTTTCACACTAGAACGTAAAGGGCGTACCGTTTCTGCCATATATTAGGTTGTCCGGAAATTAATGCCCGTTTTGAATTTCAACCGCAGTAAGTCATACACTTCTCATTTCTAAATAGGCTGCAAAGTACCTTTCGATAGAGCAAAGCAAGCTCTATAACATGGCCATCTTGCGCAACAGCTCTCATCCACCTCGAGTTCCGAGCCAAAAACTAAAAAGACTCAGCAGCCCGAAAAATCGAAAAAATCGTAACTCGGTTCATAAAAATCCTGCAAAAATTCTTACTTGTTCACGTATACTCTATCCACATGAAACATCTATATACGCCTTTGCCGTATTTTTTCCTCTGTTGGAAATCAAGAAAACGGAAATTTTCGTGCATTTACCAAAGTGGCCTTGTGCCGTCCCCACATGGGTAATTGTATACGACAAATCGGTAGAAGTACAACGTAAATTCTCAGCTCTCTACAAGCTTCACTTTTCGAGAAATTTGAATTTTAGCTTGGACCACCTAACTAGGGAAAGCTATATTCGGTATATCTCGAGAACTAAAGCTTGTAGAGAGCTGAAAATTTAATTCTGTACTTCTACAGGCTTGTGGTATTCAACTACCTATGTGGGGACGGCACAGCATCACTTTGGCAAATGCACGAAATTTTCCGTTTTCTTTGTTTTTAACAAGAAGAAAAATACGGCAAAGGCGTATATAGATGTATACGCCTTTGCCGTATTTTTGCCTTTGCCGTCTCTATCCACACGAAACATCTATATACGCCTTTGCCGTATATAGAAGTTTCATGTGGATAGAGTATACGTGAACAAGTAAGAATTTTTGTAGGACTTTTATGAACTGAGTTACGATTTTTTTTTCAATATTTTGGCTGCTGAATCTTTTCAGTTTTTGGATCGAAACTCGAGATAGATGAGAGCTGTTGCAAAAGCAAGATGGCCATCTTTAGAGCTTGCTTTGGTCTATCGAAAGGTACTTTGCAACCTATTTAGAAGTGAGAAGTGTATGACTTATTGCGGTTGACATTCAAAACGGGCATTTTTCCGGACAACCTAATACATACTTGCGCAGTTTAGAGCTCTGTTATGTCTGACATGAAGCTTGGAAAGTCAAAGTATTATTCTTATGAGTATGTGATGACGGCCACTAGTTGCAAAAAATTTTGAGGAGGAGCTCGCTTGAATTGCATTACGATGCATACTTGTCATTGATTGGTTCGATGGTTCGCCCCTCAATGATAATTGAATATTCGAAACCATGAAAACCATGGCTAGATGAGAAGAAAAAGGTTGAATAAACAAGCAAATTGAGCTATTAGGAGCATAATATATTCGTCCTTGAAAACGGTTCCGTTAGAATCAAGGAGGTTCTTGAAAAGAGTACAATTGTTCTGTGCGAACTCAAGGTAGATTTTAACCCTAGCTATTCTAGGGTTAAATTTTACCTTGAATGCATAATGGAAAGTGAAGGAGAAATAATGATGGAGGTAGATTTTAACCTTGAGGTAGATTGATGAATACGGGTTTATGTGCTTCAAGGTTAATTTCTAACTGAAGGTAGACTTAACCCACGAGAAAATTTCATTGCGATCACGTTGTGAATACGGGTTATAAACTAAAATGCTAGCTGAGGTAAATTCTAACCTTAAGGGTTCGTTGATGAATACGGTCACCGGTATCACAACGCTTTTCTCGAAGAGGAATTCCTCAGATATACCCATTGCATGATTTATTGGACGGAAAATCAACGCAAAAACCTTGATTTGTGTAAGTCCTGGTAAGACTCTGTGATATACATGTACGTCTGAACAAAGTTTGCACGTTTTATGATTAAGTGTCAAAAAGACTCCCACATAATGTTTTCGTGCATCCGCACGTAGGCACGGGCCAAATGCGCGAAGGACGTTAGTGGGAGTTTCGCCCAAAATGCCGCGGTCGTCAACGTGTTAACATGGGGTGTAGACCATCTTGGAGGGCATAAAACGCTGATTCCAAATCTGTCTTCCGTATCTGCGGAGCTTACATGGGCGAGGAGTTATGGGTATTTATTGAAGCAAAAAATTTGTTGATTTTCAAGGATAAAATTAGTTGCTAAAATTTTCGTACCCTAAATGAGGCAGCGGACCGCGGTTGTATTTTATCTAAAAATATTTATTGCATAAAATGCTCTGATAATTCTCACTGCTCCATTTAAGCGCGAGGAAAAAGGATACGACTAATTTTACCTTACTTCCACCTTTAAATTTTTGCTCCAATAAACGCTCATAACTCCTTGTCCAGTATGCTTCGCAGATAAGAAAAACAGATTTGGAATCAGCGTTTTATGTACCCCACAACGGTGAACATCCCTTCTCAAAAGGCCACTTCGATTAACCATCCCTCCCTTGTAAGTGATCGTATGCTGCTAATCATGCTTCTCGATTCTAATATACCCAGTCAAGTTAGTGATAGTAGGAGCTCATCATTATCATCTGTAAGAGGAAAAAGAGCAATAAAGGAGATGAGTCAAATACGCGAAAAAACAAAACAAAACTGTGCAATGTGTATAGAAGTGAATCTACTCTGTCCTCACGTGTGCTTTCGCCAACCCATAGCACCAAGTTCCGTCTTCACACCTTAAAAATACACTTCCACGTTCATCTCGCAATTATTATTGGTCTGCAAGCGACTTTGCATCTTAGAACTTGTGCCTCTTAATCTCGTAGTCAGTGATAACCTCATTGGTCTAGCTCGCACCTCAGATCGGCAACATGTCAATCTCACCCCTGACATACCTGATCGTAGCTAACTATTGTAAAACATCGTCAGAAAATTTTAAGTACCTTAATTTCAGGCGTACAAGGCGCACCTTTTTCGATCTTCCGACTAAGCCCCTCAGCCGCTACAAATTATTTCGGAAAGCGATCCTCATGCCGTACGACTCCTTTAAGCAATACACAGCAAGGCATAGGGTCCTTTGGTTGCAAAGTTCATTGGCGTATTTGGGCTGGTCGATCTTGGAAGACAATCCCCCGCCAGGGCCCGGCACAGATCGTCTAGAAGCAGGCTGGACTTCGTCTTTGGAGCGAAAAGCAAAGGAGATATCGTTTTTGAAGAGTAGGGGTCGAGCACCAAGAATAAGCGCCATTTAGTCCAACACAAGCTTTTCGGACAGGTTATCACACGATTGACATGCTCTATCGTGTGTGGTGAAAAGTGCGCGCGATTTGAAAGCAAGGCTAAAACAAACAAATTGCTTGTTTACAGCGCACACAGAAGCATATGACACCAAAATTGAACTGCATGCATAGAAAATTATTTGCGGAAGAACTATGTAAAAAGATTTGAAAACTTATGTGAAGAAATACCTTTTCCAAAATTAGATCGTCTCCAGACGGCCACCAGACGATCTGAGATCGTCTGGAGCATATATTTCCGTCAATTCACATAAGTTTTGAATCTTTTCAGCATGCACGGATGCCCCAGTCGAAAATCTATCCCTGAGCATAGAAACACTTTCATATTACCTCCTGTCCGTCCTTTTTTATCCTCTTTTTTCCGAAAATCACCGTGTTAGATATCGCGCCCCAGCGTCAACTTTTCTGCGCCCTCCCTTTAAATTTTCATCTTCACTTTGAGCTTAGATCGCAAAATCTTTCTAATTTCGTTCATTCTGTTCAAAAACTTTTTTTATTCATCTCCTCGTGACACATTAAGGAAATCTGTCTGAATTCATGTTGAATGAAGAGCGTTGAACAGTAAGAGTAGCGTCACACAACGAGCAGATTAGTCAAACTTCTCATTAATGTTTTTTCGTGCTGTGTTCATGGGCTTGGGTAAAATTGTGGCGACAAACTGTTTTGTATGATCATAACACAGGTCTTTTCTTCGATTACTACTTGCGTTTTCATCCATTACCATCATGTACATCAACACAGCTCTTTTCCTCGATTATTATTTGCGTTTTTATACTTTAAGAAGCTTTGCATTTTTGTTATTGTCCAAAGTATGGTGTTGTTGAGCTTAAAATTAGCTTAGCTAGTGTTTGATTACTCCGAAATAAGTGTGTAACAATACGGAGATCATCATTTCTTTGGTAATGCATGGCTCTAGGAGAAGTGCAGCCCCTACAATGCAAACTCTCCACGAATAATAAGCGATTGAGTGACCTACTTTGAGCGAGTTCCAGCCTGCGATCGCGTTATTTTTCCTCGCCTTGCTATACCGCTGTTGTTTCAGGTACTACGTAAAAAAGCAAAGCTGTGATACGTTCGTTGTACTCTATAAGCTGGGAGAAAGCGCATCTGAGCTGGATCTCGGATCAGAAGCAAAACGAACTGATCTCGGCCGATTTCCTACACCTGTTGGAGCTTTCATGCTTGAAGTTGCTTATCGAACACAAATGGCCAAGGAGAGGGTGTTTTCACCACCTGAAGGACACGAATCTCCTAATCAGGTATCTTTTTTCATAAGTTTTTATTATTTTGCAAACATATGCGTGTAGGTTTTGAATATGTCGAGTTTTGCTATCATCATTTTGAATATTTGGTTGTTCTGCATCATATTGTTGTTGCTATGACGAGACTTGCGGGGGGGGGGGGGGGGGGTGGTTCGTATACTTATCCCCGATTCATCTAGCTCAGTTGAATTTTATAACATAATGCATCCACTGGAGCTTTCGTGCTTTCGTGGAGAAATCAATGGCAGTCATAAACAATACGATGCGTTCCTCGATTATCTATCTATGGATGACGCATTGATACGAACGCCCAGCACCACACTCTTTTTTGTACACCTCTTAGGCCCCGGACAGACTTCACGCGGTTTGATCGTCGCGACTCAATCGCCGACATTTCCATTCATTTTCATTTCACATTCAAAAATTTTGGGCTGGAAAAGTATCACAACCGAAATGCAAGTTGATCGGCATGGAATGATGTTGTAACAGTTGTCTCGTCGCGATTCAGTCGCGACGATCAAATCGCGTGAAGTCTGTCCGGGGCCTTAATCTCTTTCATCGCCCATAGAAATCACTTGTCTGTAGGCGAAAAATGGTTTCGCTTTTATGTCCATTGTCCTTGTACATAGTATCAAGTTGGGACATAAATTTGTCATCGTTTCAAGATGTCTCTTTTTAAATGTAATATACTCATTTTGAAATAATTTATGATGAAGTGAGTTATAAATATGCGCAACCTGTTTGTTTTTTGGTGACAGAGCAAAAATGCGTTTTTCGAAAGCTAGTCAAGCCAGAGCTTGTCTTGTTGAGAAGAGATTAATCTCGTTTGCAAAATGAATGAAATTCTAGTCGAAACCATACATAATTGTTGCTGAAAGATTCTTTGATAATCATTGTGCAGTCTCGCCCCATTGTGATTGATTTAGATTGCGGCGTTATTCTTTCTTTTTTGACTCACTAAAGTCGAATTTGACTGGCTTTCGATAATTACGTAAATTTTTTGTATGTGGCTACCAAAAAATTGACAGTTTACCTATAGCTTACGTCGTAATCGATATAATCTCAGAACGAGTGCACCACATTTAAAGGTGAAGATGTGACATTATCTGCAAAACCTGGGTGCCAATTTATAGTTTCAGGGCTTTTCAGCTCGTATCGGTTTATCTGTCTCCCCTTTCTCTTTTTTCTCTGTTTTTCTATAAAACAGAGAATTAGTATAGAAAAAAGTACGTATTTAGATGAGCAGTGTGGTCTTGGCAACCGTCAGGAAATTCTCCATCTTACTTGAGCGATCTCGCAAGAAGCACACTTCACTTTCAAGAAACTTGAAGATGACTGTAGAGATACTGTTCAGGTTAGCGTTTAACCTCACTTTACTATTTACTATTTATTTACTGTTTTTTATTATACATTTCCTATTTCGTTTTTTTTAATGGCTTTGCTTATACAATTACGTATTGTGCGCAAATCTCCCTTTTTCTCGGTCTCTTAATCCCTTGCTTATTCGAATCACTTGTTTCGATAGGTTATAAAGTAATCTACAGACGCTGTTTAGATGTGCTTACAAAACAAGCAAATAGAGATCGAAAATCTTCGTGCTAGGCTTGAGAAGGAAACCAATATATCGAAATCCTTGCATGATTACTAAGTCGGAAACTAGTAAGTTTTTTCCACTCCTCATTCTCACTGCAGACAGTGAAGATTCCAGGTCCTAGAGAGAGATGAGCAGTTGAATGAAATGAGTAATAAATTACGAGATGCGGAACTCAAATGTAACAGGTAATAAATGCTTTAAAAAAAGATAAAGAAGATAATGCGCATTTAGACCGAGGACCACCTGTCTCGTACCTCCATGTATCTCGCTCTTGAATGAGCTCGTTGCGATAAAGTCACTCTTTTTTTTTGCAAGAAAGTGAAACTTTGCTGACACAGGTTAGCAGTTTATGATATTTGACTTGTGTTTTGAAAGTACTGCTTAGACCAGAGGCCACTGCTAGACGTACTCATCGTTGATACCTTGAGGTAAATACTACATCCATGTAGTTTTATCACTCATTATCAGTGATGAAACTATATGATGATGAGTGGTAAAACTACCTGGAAGTAGGATTTTCTCAAGGTATCAATGATGACGAGCTCAGATCAGACTGTCTTTCTTATGCTTTGGCAACGAGGTTGAAGAGGCACGAGTAACCGATCAACAGATCGTGTCTTACCGAGCCATGAGTTTTATTCTATAATATGCTCAAAGGCACCGTCCATCCAGATTCTCGACTTCCAGTTTTATGTCGTTTTAGGGCCTTCTCATGTCGCTGATTCCGAATATGAAGTTGAGAGTCCGCGAAAACTCCGACAATCCCCGTTCCGGAGAACCCACAGGCCGGCTTTCTGGAACGGTGATTGGATGGGCGCGCACAAATGGGCGGGCATGGATGGGGAGGGGCGGGCATGGATGGGGGTCCTCGTGCATCTTCGTTATTCAAAAGCGATTTTCTCGTTTCCGAAGCGACATTTTGCGCCGCGAATTGGGCACTGGCTTAGTAGGAGGCCCAACTATCATATGCTGCCAAAAACTCAGAACCCCCAATTTAGGGTGGACGGTGCCTTTAATGTTTATCATAACATCTGTATGTTTGCAGTTATATCTTGAATTTCCTTTTTGGTATTTCATCTGCGAATCCTGTGCATGTAAAACAACTTTGATTTTTCTTTTTTTGTAGGAGAGGTATTTTGAAAAAAAAACAACTTATCGTTAGTTTTTTTGCATTGAGATGCATCTTATCTTTTTTTAAGCTGAACAGATTATCCGTCCAGATAATGCTACCTAAAACTCTGTAAAAGGAAATAAGATTACAAGCTTATCAAATCACAGAACTAGCGCAAAAGAAGTTTACTGATGTTTTCAGTGATGCGCAAGAAGCTGATCTCAGTGCGACAAAGAAAACGTTGCGAGCTCTTCAACGAGAAAATGGATTCACGGTGCCTCAAGTCAATACGGGTGTAAATGATGATAGAACACAATAAATGCTTTATCAATATTTTCCAAAAAGTTTCTATAAAGCTATAAAATTAATATCTAGTGACTTTTCTAAAATGCAGTGATTGCACAAACATTCGCAGAGTATTTGATGAATCGGGACACAATCATAGTCCCGAGATATCAAACATGATTGGATAACGGTATATACAAAACTTTGACCATAATTATCTAGATACTTTGCCAGAAATACTAGCTGAGATAAACCTAAGGAAGCTTCTCAATGGAGAAAAGCTTAGCAAGGAAGCAGTGTCTAAACGCCAGTTTATCTCCAGCTTTGTCAGTTTTTTCACGAGGACCACTACCAAATTAGTCGGAGAAAAAAAAAGGAAAGTTACCGAAATGATGATGTCCGTAGCAAATGCTTCGTTTACGCTAGTTAGTTTGCACAATGTTTTTGGAAATGAAATCAAAAATGAAAAATTTGAAAATGTTTTTGGAGAATATAAATGAAAGTTTTTTGAAAGATTGTTTGTTCTCAATGAAGAGGGGGGGGGATAGAGCAGGGGTCAAAGGGGACTTCGTAAAATTTTCGAAAGTCAGGGGGGACTTCGTTTTCAGGAAGCTTAAAAACGGACTCGTGCCGGGCCCTGTCCCCCGCGCCTTGCACGCGTGAAATTAGGGTAACTGAAGGCACAGTACTTCATATTAGCTCGGATAAGATAAGATAGACCTTTGCCTCTTCTATAAATAGATGGCAGATGGCGAAAACTACTGCTGGAGCACCTGATACCCTAGTGAAAGGACGATCGTAATCTCTACACCCAACTCTCCTCTTACAGGGTTTCCCAAAAAATGCGCATACTGTTTGATTGTTATTATCTTTGTCATGAAGTCTTTTGAGAAGCTTTCGGTGCCAATTTGTAAAGCTGACTTAAACTTAGATTTACAGTACAAGATGGGTAGTTCGCTTTTTACTGTGAATTCAAGTTTAAGCCAGCTCAACATGGTACCTAATTTTCCAAAGAATTCAAGACAAGAGAGTTATCAACAACCAAACTGTAGGGCACATTTTGGGACACCCTATATGCCCGCATTAATCGGCTACTTTTTCATCATATACGTGATCATGAAACTAGAAAAAAATAGCGAACTTCTCGAGAAAGTAGGATATGATCTACAAATCCAAGCTAAAATATTTGAGCTAATTCTTTCCTTCTTAAGCTTGCATTTTGTCCATAACTTTGCAGCAAGATATGTTTCAAACCTTACACCTGTGAGCGTCTATTTTAGCCGCCCCAAAAAAAGCTTTTTCATCTTCTTCCTCCTAATTCTTCTTCTTATACAAACCAAAGCGGAACTCAGTGAAAATCATTTCAAACGTTTACACAGAGCGGTCGACACATGCACCCTTTGATTCAACTGGATTGGCAGCTGAAAGGCGGGGCTTCCTGTCCTAATTAGGGCAAGAGAATGGTTAGAGACTATTGCGAGAGAGACGCAGACTCCGTCGCGTGCGCGTGCGGTCGCCTTCCAGCCGCCAACCTCGTTGAATCACAGGGTAGGATGGGTACGGGAAATATAGTAGATAGTGTGTGCATCAGCAAGTATTGCGTCACGAAATGATTGACTGTAAGTATCATCTCTTTTTGTCATAAAGTTGAATCTCCTACCAAGTGCCTTGCTACTGAGATGAGCAAAATGATTCTAGAGTAAATTCAGAGGAAGACGTAATGCAGGCATGGTGAGACTTACCGCACCCTTACTAAAACCTTACAACCCTGATAAATGCCGGGCATACACCGCGCGATTTCGTCGCCTCGCGATACTCTCGACAAGACAACTGTTACGAGTTCATTGCATGCCAATCATCTTGCATTTCTGATGTGACAGTTATTCGCGATTAGTCGCGTCGAAAAAGAAATGCAAAATGCTCGGCATGCAATGAACTTGTAAGGTCTTGTCGACGAATAAGGAGGAGACGAAATCGCGCGATGTATGTCCGGTATACATGCTTTATAGTCTCTTCAGGAGTGACAGCCTACATAGCCATTTCTAGCTGAACTCTTCAGAAGTGTACGTGACTCAATCCTTGGTAAGAATCCACAATACGTAGACCAAATAACATCGAAAATTTGTTACAATTTATTCGCATAAGCAAAACACAGGCAAGATAGTAATGCAAATTTTTCCTATCACTTTATGGACACATACTTTGGCAAGCACAGGGTAATAATGACTTACGAGCAAGCACTACTGCAACACATGCGAAAAAAATCCTTAAGAATACAAACTTTGTAAAAACCCAGAGAAAAGAGGTGGAGATGATAGCACTACCGGTGATGACTACGAACAAAAATCGCTCTACCACCCGTTCCTCAGACTTCGAGATACAAATGGCAAGCATTGAATGTTAGTAAATTATTTATGTACATGTTTTTCTCTACGTCGTCTTCGTATCTGCCATTTACGCTAGTCACTGACATGTGATAGTAATGATCAAAATAGTGTCTCATCTTAAACTCGTCTTAAACGCACTACTCCTCCGAAGAAGACGACCATCCATCCATCCTACAAAGTTTCGTCTACTATGCGTGAATGCGAAGCTGAATTGTAGAATCATTTCCTATTTCTTCTTCGACAACAATTTGAGCTTGAGTTTAAGTTTCAATTTCCGCCTTTTCAGCTCTCGTTTCTTTTTTGCACTCGACTCTAAAAAAGAGAATGTAAACGGACAAAGAAAAGGAAGAGACACTACCAGTCGGAAAATCATCAAAGTTTTCTTCAGACAATTTGGCCTTCTCATCTATGATAAAAATGAGAAGATTAGTCAGTTCTTTCTCTCGTTCAAGTGTAACACCTAAATTCAAGAAATGCAGATTACATTCATAGCATAGAAAGTTTTTCTAGGGATGATGACTTACTGTCTTGTATATCCTTCTCAACTATACATCGAAGGAGATATTCGGTTTCCGAATGGATCTCGTTGAGAAAGGCTTCCCTCCACCTCAAATTCAGATCATTTATCAAAAGCAATGGAAAAATTTGCCATCTACTTACATGTACTGCAGAAAACAACTTTCTCTTAGCCTATCCAGATAACGGCACATAATAGCAATAAAATCTTCAGTTCTAGGCATTTTAAGCCATCCACCGGGATCTTAAAAAAATGGAAACTACGCAGCTATAAAGAATTGTGGAAAATACGCAGATAAGTTCTACTTACTTTGAGTAATCAGAAACAGCAATTCCACTTCTAACTGCTTTCCTTCTCGTACAATTTTCATCAGCTCATCATCAAGATCTTCGAGCTTTTTGGCAATCTCTGTTGTATCACCAAGAGTTTTGTGATTTGTAAACATGATCTAAAATATGTGACGGATATAAACATCTTGCATTTGCCAGTAAAACGTTCACTCGCACCTTCCTCCTGCAGACTGTCGGTGGGAGTGCAGCTCGAACACTTTTTCTAGAGATTTTCAAAGTGTGGAACTTGTCTTCGTCAATGGGGCTCCGCTTACCCTAGAAACAAAGCTGTAATGTCTGTGAGAATTCCTGAGATATTAGTACCTCCCCGTTTGAATTAGATGACTGAGGAGGCGGTGGTGGAGTGGATTTTGGGCGATCTGACTCTCCAGGTAAAAGAGATGAAGGTGTGATACTGAATCAAATCCACCAGTAGAACTAATGTAGAAAAGCTGATAAAGAAAACAAGGAAACACTCACGTTTTCAAAGAAAGAAGATGCGCAGAATCGCTGCTCTCGTCATCGCTATCAGCAAAAGGGTTTTTTGCCACTTCGCATTCTATCTACAAACGTCTTTTCAGAACATCAAGCCGGAGAAAATTTATATATACATCGTCATCCTCGTCGAATGGGCATAGTTCATCAGGATAGTCCTCAATCACGAAACTGGATGAAGTAGACTGACAATCAGACTGAATGAAAGATGGTTATTCACACAAGTACACATATGATGAAAATCGTACGAAAGAACGATACCAACCTCAGTGAGTTTGCTGGCAGAACTGAAACGTCGCGGGAGACTGTCCGCTTGCAATGTGTTTGAGGCCGAGGCATTTTTCGACCGGGGAGTTGACCCAGAAGTCAGAAGAAGCGAGGCTCGTTTTGGACGAGGTGGAGGCACTAAAATACTCGTTTGTCCATGCAGAACAGATTGAAATTCTCGCCAAATCTTGCTAACATACTGACCAGGCAGCTTCGCTGCATCGGCCGATGGAGTTGACAAAGTGGAAGGCGGAAGCTAGAAAAATTTTGGCAACATTCAACAACGCCAAATTATGAAGGAAAAAACACAATACGTTGCAAATCACAAAACAATCATGATTCAGATGAGATAGAAGCTCCCACTTACAGCAACAACCTGGTAGCCATCCGAATCCGTATCCGTACAGAGATTTTGTACTCTAAGGACAACGCCAGAATCTCCGGAGTTTTCAGAACCATTCACCTCCTCGTATTCGCGAGTCTTGCATGGAAAAGAATGAGTGCAAAACACTACACTTTGAATGACACTTTTAACAAAAATACCTTTATTTCGGATGTGGTTTCAGCTTCCGGCAACCTTGGCTCTGTAACAAACCTCGCAGGTTTAGGAGGAGGCAAAGGTTTGACTCTGCCGTCAGTTGTAAGTTTTGGTTTTGGCGATATTGGTGGTGGAACCGAGTTAGTACCATTGTTGGTTGTACATGTTAGCTTTGGGTTGGGAAGAGGCGCAGCAGGTGGAGCTACAGTCGGACGAGAACTTCTCTTTTCCCTTGATTACGTGATCGTAGGTGAGGTAAGGAATATAAAACAAAACAGTACAACAACGTACTCCGTTGCATCAAGTATACGTCGAATAGAGTGAGTAACGCATTCATAGCCTCTCTTCCCTTTTTTGAATCCTCCTACTCTCATCGGAGCGTTGCATTCAACACATTTGAAACATTGCCTGTGCCAAACGGTGGCCTCAGTGATGACCTAACAAACAAAAAAATTGTAAGTAAAAATTGAAAAGAATTGATAGTGAAGCTCACTCGCTCAACAATAAACACATGTTCGTGACACGACGCACATCTGGGAAACTGAGCGTCTCCACCATTTCTGGCCTCGAAAACCAATTTTGGAGCTACGACATTTCGCAGTGACTCTATAGAGTTGAAAATGAACAGCCATATGATAAACTTCAAACTACCTTCTAATAAACAACACGGTTCTGTAAAAAAAATCACTAGTTTAGAAATGCCTTTCATTTCAACCATTTCACGAAACGCACTTGGATCAATGAAGTCCACCGAATGTTTGACGCAGATGAGATAGACCAACATTGCCAGCATGATATTGGGGTACTTTATCATCAAGTCCCTTTCGGTGATAAGGCAAGGGATTCCCAATGTTTCCTCAGCCAGTTGCAGCATCTATAACACAAAGTTTGTAAAAGTCCATTGTTTTTTGTCAATAGTGAGACTAACGGTATTGAATCCGATTTTGAATGCAACATCATTGCCAGAGTTGTCTGGCCTCCTGAATGCAAATGCCCTTGTGACTTGCAGTGCGGAAGATAAGAAAATGAACATAAAAAACCTTTCTTGCAGTTGAACGGCAAGCAACTTTGATAAAAGATGAAGTGGTTGGTGCCAGTCACCTCGGAGCCATACATATGGCGAGTACCCTATAGACTCTAACCACTCGGTGTGGACTTTCAACAGTTTACTCATGTCCTAAGAGTGCATAATCATCGATCCTGAAACAAAGATAAACGTACTCTTTCTGCACAGAAACATATGCACCATGACCTGACCTTGTACCAGCTATCGGACTTGCAGATAGTTCTAGAGCATTCAGTACTAAGGTGGCAGCAGAATGCCGACTTTATAAGCTTGCCTTGATTATAAAGCGCCGAACAAGCCCATCAAACGATGCACCAAATTACGGGATGCAAAAGTTGCGCGCTAATCAAAACTATTTTCGATCCGCATCAAATGCTGTTCTTATTGGATGAATAGTAGTCCTTTTGATTTCTTCAGCTGTTCCAACATGCATGGTCATTGCCCTTCACTCATTCTGCCAACTTTGCATGTCATTTACAATGATTTCCTAGTACTTTTTTGGGAGAATTATTTCTCAAAGATATTCCTTAGCACGTGCAAATATGGCGTCCATGCACAACATGTATGACGTTCTTCCGTTTTCATAACCCAGTTTGGGACAGCTATAAAATACAACCATAGCAACTTCATTCTATAAAGGAAGATGTTTTCGAATACATATGTAACTCCAATTCTGACTCCAGTACAAGCCAGAAAGGAATGACAAGGAAGTATTTTATGTATTTTTTGGTATTAGTTTATATCGCTAGTATTTTATGTCGCTGATATTCTGTACAAAAGTAGCTTCACATGTTTGCTTCTCAGCTTTTTATAAGTATTACGAAAGAAAAAACTATTTTGTTGTAATCTCCCTCCACCTGTTGCATCCTACCACGAGATTCTTGGCTGGAAAGTAGAGCCACATTTCGAATTGTTGCCAGTTGTTTCTTGTTTTTCTACGGGATGCGATTATATTTCCGTTCCCGGTCCTCGTTTTCTCAACCTGTCGCCTTTCGGCTGGTACGCAATTTGTGGGCTTATATCACTTTAACCGTAGTATGTTAGTAAAATAGTGTGCACTTTCTATAATTGAGCTGCTAGAAATTCACAAAGCTTTTCTTTCAATAACTTGCCCTTCCGGTTCACTAACAGGGTGTTGCGGCTACAGATGTAATTTTGCAGTACTTGTCTATGAAAATCCATGACAAATTGATGTAGCGTGGTCGAAAAACTGGTCGGAAAGGTAAATAGAGTTCTGCAATCTCGAATCTCAGCTGTGCAAATGTTTGATGCTCCGTAGAGACGAGGGCGCGAAAACAGAAGAATTAAAATAAAGAATATGCACTAGTCATCAGCTTTTGGCGATGAACGTTCATATTCTAATGCACTTGTAGGCAGTGAATCGGCAAAATGGATCCCGCAGTATAGACCCCCAAGTACACTGTGGCCCAAATCCCACCTGCCAATTTATGCGCTAAATCCTGAAAAATGCTCTTTAAAACTCCTCCGACCCCGCCTACTTACATAAAGTGTCATACATACAGTTTTGCAAAAGGGAGAGAAGTTAATGTAGAGGTGTGGGTTTATCGGAGCAGTTGCATCGTATGTTAGGAGGTACATATTCCCCTCTATTTCTCACTTGTCCAAAAAAGTTCTAAAGTTTGGATAAAATTAGATTCTACTATCAAGTACAAGCAAAGGGATGCGGGTATCCTTTCTTTGGTTGATTTTCTGAAAAGATTTATTATACGGGATACCATGCTCATGAGGATCTGAAGCAGCGCAGCTTCATAGCGACAGATGATGTGAATTATATAAGGATGACTAAATTTTTGAATCCGTACAATGCAAGATACATCCGTTTGCTGTTTACTTCTTCTATGAAACTAAAATTCCATAGTGTTCCGAGCTATCAATAAAATGTATGCAAACTTGTTTCCTTTTTTTAAACTCGACTTTCACTCAACTTTTATAATTTGTGCGTTGGCTTTGCTCTCCTTGCTGTTGCTGCTATCAGCACTTCTTCTCCATGTCTGTTTATGAAACATTGTCATTTCAGTTCATTTTATATGTACACAACGCTGCAGCCGAATTCCGCAAACACATCAGAAATTGGAGAAAGTGATGGGAACAGCGAGGTAGGGATCTCAAATGATTGCTAAATCGTGGATAGTGCCGATACAGTTTTCTTTACGCCTCCAATCTGAATCGCTTTTGCTTTTCTCTTCTTGCTAACTTTAACGTCTTTTGCACTTGGAATTGCAAAGATGTCGGGGGGGGGGGGGGTGGGGGGTTGCTTTTTTGCTGATTCCATTTTTGAACATGAAAGTGGATATGGACTTAGAGGCAGGCAGTTTGGCGGGTAATATATGTCTCTTTTAAAAAGCCTTAAGAGTATTTTTTGTTTGTTTTCAGGCTGATGGCAATCTCGATTTGTCCCTGATAAATAGACGCACTGACAATGTCGCCGTCATGAGAATGGCACCAATCAACACAGATCTCAATGTGGCACCTCCTCAGGTTTGTTGGACTTGACTGAAAGTAGCTAAACAACAGTTTATCTCTGTAGGTTCTGGACAGCACCTATTATGAAGCGTTTAGAAAACGTTCAAGAAAGTTTTTCAATACAAGGTAGGCAGTTGTTTTAGTCGCAACGCTGTAGATGTACGTTACTTTAGCTTGAATATGGGCTACTCATTTGCAAATGAGGTGCCATCGGTTAACGTAGTTGGATCTGGCTCAGCAATCAAAAAAATTTTGATGGAGCCCTATGCGGCTGGTCCTTTGAGTCTTATATGCCACAAAGTGGGAAAAACAGTTTATTTGGACAACCATCAATTTTCCAGGAAGGTAAGGCCTGATCTGGGTTCAAAGGTAAATAACGTTTACGGTATTTTTCAACTACCTTGAAACTTGATTGGAAATGAAGAACAAGCATAAGACCTTCCAGCAAAAATGCGAATTACTTCCACAGTTATACTGGAGAGATGATGAACCACCAGCAACAAACTTTACGCCTCAATTATCCCTATATGAGAACCTAATATGGAACTCGTGAGTACTTGCAGTGCTTTTCGAGGGTTTGAGCATCATTTTTTCTCAATATCCAGACCAATATCTACCTCATCTACGTGCGAGCCTGAAGGCGACGCTGGAACTGAGCTGGTATTACGAGAGACTGGTAAGGAATAATTAAAACTTCCTTGCGGCTGCTGTGCAGATTCTTACAGATATCCTTCAGAATCTTCTTTTTCCTTTTCATTCAATCTCGTATTTTACAGGTCTCACGACTTCAAGCTCTACTTTGGAATTCCCGAAAATGTTCAACAGCTACTCTTACAGGATCACTTCTGAGGTAACCAAATTTTTAATCTGTGATGACTAAAGCTAATTTCATATTATTCAGAATGATCCGGGGAGTCTGGCGCATTTATGGGAGTTTTATGATTTCCGAATGCTTGTTGATGTGGATTTGCCTATTTTTGGTGGTGGGAGATTTCCGAGCGTCTCAATCCATTTAAGGTGCTTTAATTTCCAGGAAAAACTTATGAAATCAAAAAGTTTTTTCTATCTATCATTACCATTTTTGTCATACTCTATTTTCGCATATTGTTTTTTATGAAGCTCCATTTAGTGAAGAAACAAAACCGATCTCGGTCCTTACCGGCATGGACATCATGTTGGATCAACTCATGTGTAATTTATCGGAGACCATACTAGTTTATCATGAACATGGACTAGTAAAAGTAATCTTTTATCTGACTATCGATCGACTTGGATGGATTTTGAATTTGTCTTGCAGGACTACGAAGTCCTTGTGAAGGAAGAAATTCCGCATATTACCGGTTCCGAATTTGATCCGTCTAACCTCAAGAATATTACCGAAAATATCATGTCGTTCCTTTCCAAGAACATGACAGAGCAAGGTCACACGTATTGGCTGGTTAGAGGCAAGTTCATTTTGCGATTTGACTGCGTTTTATTGCGGATATAACGTTTTTTAGAGAAGGGCTCAGCGGACATGAAATTGTACGATTTGACAAGCATATGTCCCGACCTTGCATGCAATCCAAACTGGAATCCATTCCTAGTTCCCGTTATCACTCTACTGTACAAGGTAACTTTATCTGCATCCTCAAATTGTATCGATCTTATCTGGATTCAGCTTTCGCTCGATTTGATGGAAAAATCTCCAAAGGGACGTTCTGAAAAGCTTTCGAACGTGATTTATGCCTTGTTGAATGCGGCAGCAAAGCTTGCTGAGAATGAAGATTTGGCTGAAGTGAGGCATTGTAATTATTTGTCACGGTCATCAATCTTTATTGACGAATTTAAGATGAGAGCTTGTATTCACCACTCTTTGGCCGGAGTCTATCTCATGTATGGGTCAGGGGAGGGGAAACTGGATCCGGATTTTCTGAACCTTATTGACAGCCTAGATGAGGTATTGTCAGATGGTTACGCCAGACTCACATCTGCAATACAGGTATGTTTCATTTCGAATAGTTGATTCTTAGTCAGTCAGTCAATAGTTCTTGGTCACATTACATCGCGAAGCAGCTCTTACCTCTTTTTCTGTGTAGTTTGCCTCAGTCTTATTGAATTTTGGACGGTAATGCAATCACCAATTGAAAGAGATGTTTTGTGAAGTTGTTTCGGAGAAACCCGAAAAAGGAATTTTTGTGCTTTAACTTGTATGTTGCGAGCCCTCAGTTCTCTAGGAAGGGCTAATTTTTTCACATTTGTTCATGCTTGCCCATGCTTGCAAGCAGTCACTCAGATGCTATGGTTCATCTATAAAATCGTGACGACGGATTTTACTGCGGACTTTGCACCCACAGGAGCATAAAGCGCTCATACTAGGGGGCATCACCTTAATGTTCAGCTCATTCACTTCCATTGCCTAAACACTATCATACGTAAGCAAAAAAACCATTCGACCAGAGACGAAAACCAAGAAAACGCGATTCCCGGAAGTGACGTGCGTGTCGCGCGCGGTCGCGCCGTCGTCACGATTTTTCAAATGCCCTATACTCGCTTTTGCATTTTTTTTGCAAGTGACAAAAAAATTGTCAATACTAGGTATCTCATAGACCGGCTAATGTATCCTAATGAGCTTTCTCTATACCTTGTGTACTCTACATTTGCTGGCAGCAAAGTAGAGCGTTCCTGCTGTTCTTTTTGCAATGCCTGTCTGTGTCTGTAGAACTAAACGATCAGTAACAATTGCCCTCTTTTGTGCTATAAAAATTGCAAGGATGAAATTAGCGATGTTAATTATAAAGCACTAATATGCTAATTTCGTCCCTATCTTACGGTTATAGTCACAAAATTTTGTTGTATCATGCACTAGTGGTACTGTTAATTTGACAGGTTGCAAGCTTGACGAGAAGCTCGAGCAACTGCTCTTATGATAACGATCAAACTACCAGATCTAGCAGCTCTTCATCGAAACGACCTCCAAATGTAAGGGTGGAATCGGAGTGTGCGGTTCAAGCCTTGGAACACAGTTTGCAGGTTTGAAGTTGTGAAAGTCGTAGTCAATCATGTTGACACTGAAATCTTAGGCACTGAATGCTCTCGAAGGGGTGGACATGGATCAAGTATGTCCTTTCAAACCGGATAATCCAGATGAAGTGGCAGCGATGAGTAGCATCCGTAGTATGTATAACGGACTCATCGATGCTGCTGCATACAAAGGTTGTACTGTTATAGATAATGACAACATGGCTATACGGCGTTTGTTTCGACACGCAATCTTGATCAGAGCTGCCTCCGCTTACCTGCCTTTAGTTTATCAAACACTTTGCCTGGATCGCCATGTAAAAGCCTACAATTTCTCTCGATGTGCCACAACACTTTGCGGTCAGTTCTTGTTTTTTTTTTCGTCTAACAAGGAAAGGATACCAACATTAGTTGGCGATTGAAGATGAGATGTATATCAATAGACGCGCCTTTGAACGCTGATTCTAGATCTGCTTTCCTTTTCTGCGGAACAGCTCTCCGAAAGAAGTTATGAGCGCTTGAATGTCCAAATTTGCCAAGCATTGAATGGCATAAAATTAGCAAAAAGCTCTAAGACAATACTTAAGCAATTTCCATCGGCTTTGTTTGTATTTGTTTGTTTTCACGTTGCGCTGAGTTTGGTGACTTGCTGCATAAGAGGGAAACTCGAGTAGTTTTTGAAAATTTCTGACTTTTTAGTACATTTGATGTCGTTGAGGATATAGATTCGAAGGAATTTTGCATTTACTGTGTTCTTACGTCGCTGACGTATAGCCCGAAAGCCAAGAAATGTCTGTGACCTCGTTCGTTGTACCGTTTAGCAGATATGGAATTCTGTCTCATAATTAGCGTTTTAGCGGCTCTCACTGGTACACATCTTATTTGGAAAACACTTTGAGTCAAAAGGCTTCCCGTATCAGTAGTATTTTAAGAATCTTTCCTGAATTTATATCGAGTTGTGCCATTTGCAGCAGCTGTTCTATCATCGAAACCGGTATCACGCCATATCTCCATCTGTCATGCTCTTTTACAAGTTTTCTTGTCGACGTTTGTAAATGCTGCATCGGAACTCATCGATGAAGTTGTGGACACAACTGCACTCGTACGTTCTATATATCCAAGAATTATTCAACTTTTAGGCTCAGTATGGCATTACTTTTAGACTAACGCCATCCCCTACCGTGATCGTCGTTTTATGGAGCTCGCGACATCTGGGGTCGTTATGAAAGGTGGATCTTATTTGTACATCAGATTTTCGCATGTAGATGCCACTATCTCCTTACAAAATACCCATCTTTAGGTGTTCTCAATCTTGCATCACTTTGGTTTGAAAATAGCTCTGGAAGCAAGACTAGAAAGGAATGGCTGGAACAAATTGAAGCAGCTGCGTTTAGGTAAGAACTTTGTACGCACTAGATATCGTATCATTAATTTTTTTTATCGAATAGATGTCATCACTTCATCAAAGAATATCCCGCAGCTTTCACTCAAGTCGAGTTCACTCCAGTTGCTACAGGATTGAGCCCGCTTGATAGGAATGTATCACGCGCAGTCATGGCTTTGATGATGACTGGAGGAAAGTTCACAACTCTTGGGAAAGCTGAATGTAGCAAAGGTTATAGTTTCGGATGTGATAGATTTCAAATTGTTAATGTTTTGTTTACAGAGGGTGATGCGCGTGCAAATGGTGACAAAGCGATGGAATATGTTGAAATTGCCAAGCACATCTACAAGAAGGTACAGCAGAGTTGTTGCATTCAATATAGTGTGCTTGTTGCGCGGAACAAATAGCCACGCCAGTATTGCCGACATTCTGCGCGCGCAAGTGGCCGGCATAAAAGGCTTGATTATTTGTTCACGCACAAATTTTAACGCACTGTATCGGCACTGCAAGCACACTATATTGAGCTGAAAATTTTTTTGACTGTAGTCCTTTCGTCTGACACTTTTCGAAGTTGTCCTGTAAACTATAGGGTGTTTCCAAAAAGATGTCTTGCAATGAAGTTTGAGAAGCTTTAAGTACCGTTTTGTAGAGGGCTTCAACTTCAGGAAAGCTATCTAACTTAACTCGGCCTTTTGGTAAACGGCATATATATTCTGAATCAGCTTCAAACGCTGATTCCAAGTATGCTATTCCTAGCTGCCACGCACCATTCCGAAGCGAGTTATGGGCATTTCCCTACGCAAAATTGGCATACTACTGAACATGGGGAGACTGCCTGTAGATAAAAATCTGCAAGAAAAAGGTGCTGAGATATCAAGATAACACAAATCCAACCTTTTCTCACTAAAAAGAAGCAAAACGCAAGTGTATTAGCACTTGAGCAAGTTTTCATGCATGCTGACAGTACAAAATATTTGCGCTTTCGTAAACCTTTTTGAATAGCTTAACAATAGCAATAGTTGGTCATGTGGTAAATCTGGGATAACGTATGAAAAATGCATTACGGTGAACTGCGAGTTTCATGTTCGGAATCACCGACTCTGATTAACTTAGTGTGGAAGCTTTCAGCCTCTTTGGCTTTGTAGGGTTTAAATATGACCCTTATTTACTCAAAACCCTCCTCAAAATTGCCACCGTAATCTTGCAGATGAAGAGTCTAAAATCCTTCATCTGCAAGATTACGGTAGGAATTACGGTAGCAGCATACTGTGAATTAGTTGAAGCCAGCTTTACAAAGTTGTACCTAAAGCTTCTCGAAAGACAGCATTACAAGAGAGTTGTTAACAGTCAAACAGCAAGCACCTCTATCTGGGACATCCTATATAATCATCTCTGATGCTTTTCGAAGCATCACTAAATACGCCCTTCTAACATGTTTAAGTTAAGTCTTCCTCTAAATGGATTCTTAGGCTCTCGAAATTCTGAGTGCATACAACAGAAAAGACCTGAGGGATCCTGAAGTAGTCCTCTATGCAAACAGTGCAGCGACAGCAAGGCTTGAGTACAACATCAAAGTGAATATATATAAGGAAGCAGTAACAAGTGCTCCAGTTCGCGCATTGGTTGATGACGTGAGCACTTTGTTCTTTATCGTTCGTTTAATCGATCTCTTCCCAAAGTGTTTTTTTACAGGTATGCGCTTCCTTCACTAAGATTTTTGAGATAATTCGACCGGATTTTGAGACGCAGAACGGAAGCAGTGTGTATTGCAACAGTCTTGTTGATTTTGGCTTTGCATTGTATACTTTTGCTCAAGATTTGAATAAAGAAACTGACCAAGTGTGGAAGGTAAGTAAGGACTCATGGTTTCACTGCATCATATCTTCGACAAATAGGACAAGCGGATTCACTACCTCGAAGCAGCGGTGAGAGCATTACGGGATGTCTTGAAGAGAAGAGGACCACGTCCCACAAGAAGCAAGGCAATAGAAAAGATCACTGAAATATATTACATATTGCTTCGTCTAAAATCAAACGCCATGATTGAAAGAGCGGTAACATTAACTTTTAAATCAATCGTGTATCCAAATTTTACAACATCAGTTATTTTCAGAGTCTTTTTGTTTCTGCTAAAGTCGTTCGCTCCTTGTATAAGGACTTCGCAGACTATGTCCAGTCAGTACAAGACCATCTTATCCAGCTTTGCTATGACGATGTCAGGATTGGAGCGAAAGATATACCGCTGTGCTTTGTTGACTTCACAGTTGGGCTAATTGCAATCTCAGCTGGTATGTTTCCGTTTGCTTGGAGACAGCATCCATCTAAGTCTTCGTCTTCCATGTTTTTGTAATTGTGTGGCATTTCCGTAGCTCTGAACACAGTATGAATCGCAAAATATGCGAAACCCTTAGAGAACCCAATTTCTAGAAGCTCTATTCTGAAGGCACAGACGACTTTCAGCACCTGCGAAGGGTCGATAAGGGGGCGTGGCTTGGCAGAACTTGCGCGGGTTCCTTTTTTTCCATCCACAGGCCACATTAGAGGGCCGAACCAACGCAGACGTCTGTCCTACTCCTAGATCTTTCTTGTAGACTAGAAATAATCGGGGAGTCATGGGTTTTGCCTGAGCGCTGCTTTCAAACTTCGCTGTAAGCAACGTTCTTTTTCAGTGAGTGAGGGGCAGAAAGTCGAATTATGCGTTCAAGTGCTTCAATGGTTGATGGGATTGGCGTCAAATATCACAGATATCGAGCCTGACAGGGAAAAGTGTGCGGTTCGCTACGAAAAAGTGTGGACGAGAGCTCAACACTTGTTGAAATGCATGAACCAGGTATGGTTGAAAATAGTATTTGCATCGTATTTTCTCCCTAAACTCACTTCTAGGAGTGGCGCAACAATTCAACGATGAAGCAGGCTTACATGTGCGTTTTGAAAACTCTTCCTGATGATATTGAGACCAGACGCACTTTTATAATTGAATCGTTGGCAAAAGCTATCACTGCTCTTGGCGGAAAGCAGCTACATCCCCTTGGCTCACCTTAGAGTTCCTTAAAATGTTGTTTGAGACGACTTTCATAGACTTAGTCCTTCCCTTTGCAGTCTTTCGGGTAAGAGATCTGGTGAATTGATACGAGGTTCCAATGGGTTTTGTTCCTGTTTCATTGTGAATGATTCGCTTACAATAATTCTGTGTAATTGTTTCTGTACCATTATGTCATTTTGATGCGCAAATCTGCTTTGCTAGAGAATTGATGACCAAAAGTTCATAAGCTGCACGTTGAAGGCACTGCCCGCTTTTCTGGTGTGTTTTGCGCAGAGATATCATGTTGTTCATATTTGTGCTTTCTATGCGACATTTTAGCCTCTTTAGGCTATATATAAAGTCATTTCTAGCTTTTGTTCTTTGTTGATGTCAGTATGCAGTGGAAAAATGAGCTGAGAATAATCGATCTGGTTTGAAAACGGAAGCTTTATTGAAGTTATGGGCGAACAAGTTCCATTTGAAATTGATCGTCGGCAATGATCGAAAAAAAAATAGTAAATCTGGAATTTGTGCAAAAAAGCGTGGTTGCAAAAACTGGGTAAATTATCAACAAGTTTCTGTCACATGGCCTCATCTTGCCTAAAAATATTCTTGGAACATTAGGCATTCAAGCGCGAGAAATTTTACATCAGGTACAGCACAGCGCTGAGCTTTTATAAATAGTAAGCCTTGCAATGTATGGACACTATAGTTGTAATTAATTGAAATTTTCATCGATCGAACGAACATCGAATAACTGAAACAAGAGAGGGGTGATAAGTTGAATGTCGAAAAATTTCCAAACGAATGAATGACGAAAAATTAAATTTCAAAAATTTTTCGAATGAACGAATATTATTTGATTTTCGAATTTCCCATTATTCAAATTCGACTATTCGAATATGGGCACATTCCTAAATTCGAACTTTCGAATGGAATAACAAAACCCGATCGAATATTGGACTATTTGAATAAACGAATAACTAAAGGTCAGCGAATATTCTAGTGCAATATTCGAATAGTCGAACAGCTGTTTTTCGAAACTTCTCGGATAACTCCTCGAATATTCGAATATCCCATTTTTCTCAGTAATCGAATTAACGAGTTATTCAAATAAAGGCATTTTTCATTTGTTCGACTATTTGAATAATCGAATAACTGGACTTTCCAAAATGTTCGACTATTTGAATTTTTCGAATAAATTATTCGAATACGAATTTCCGGTTCCAACTAATGGGCACGCATGAAGCCGTTTTAGTAGCACGATGCCGACGTTTAATTTTCAGCAGCCGTTTTCCTAAATTTAAAAATACGAAAGAAGGTAATACCGCTGTTCATTGAAAGCGCGATCTTTAAAAAATGGTGTAATGTTTACAAAAAAATTGCGATTTATTGCGTTCATGATTGAGCACAAGTTATTGATCTGAAACATGCTATCTTCTCACCTAACGTATTCACAATAGCAAAAGCGACTATGTTGTGCCATTTACATAATCGCACTATTCTGAGCTAAGCTATACCTGATTATAGGTTGCTTGGAGCTTGTTGAGATCGGTTTCACGCACCGTCGCTCACGCCGCCTTCAAGGCGTCGGTGCCATCACAAATTCTGCACACATCCGTCAGATTTGGCTGCAGACTCGCCGCTCACCTGCAAGCGGCTAATAATAGCCTATTATTCTGCTAATCGCACACAAATGCTAGCTGTCGTCAGAATCGCAGCGAACTTTATACTCTGCTATAAGCTAAGAGCGGTTGCTGGATAAGCGAACAGAGTCTCACTAATCCGCTACACCAGAAGCTGGCACGAGCTTGGCAGCAGACCAAAGCAAAACATACAAAACAACACGCGGTCAGCTAGCAACCATACGAACTACATAGCAACGGTGCTCATCTCCTTGTGGCACGCTTATTAAAGAGGTTTTTTTGAATTTATGAAGTAACGCTCCAACTTGATTGAGAATTAAGTTGAAGATCCATAAAACTGTTTTTGGGGTGCGCGGGTTGCCGTTAATGATCCCCCCTTACCACCTGGCTGGCGCAGACTCGAATCAATCATTCAAGGCCAAGCCAACCTCGGCGATTTCTACCTCTTCTCATACACCTGGATAGTGTGTTGCATGGAACTATATTGTTTCAAAAATTTTGAGTCATGCTATCAATCGTGTAACTGACACTTTGAATAATTTTCTTTTTTCTATGTTATTTTTTGTTGGCGTTAGCGCAACATGGCATGACTACTCGCCCGGTAAATAGGTTCTCCTTCGTAAATAGCAAGTATTATTTCGTAACTGAAACGTTGCGATTACTTCAACAAAAACCGGTCAAGTTTTCTTGCCTTAATTGTGTGCAATTTGAACAGGATTTCCTGCTTACTATTTTGGTGGGACCTGAAACAAGTTTTTCTTTTGTGTTTGATTTCATTACATTCTATGCCTCTTGATGCTTTTTACTATATTATCTAAAGATGTTTCTTTATGTTATACCTCAGCTAGCATCGCACCTAACCTCTTTGCAAAATTTTCAATTTGTTCAAAAATTGAGTACTATGTGGCCTACACCTCGTTACTTTTTTAGCTAATTCTATGACTCATGCTGCGCAGATGTCTTTCAAACTAGGCTGGTAGTTTTTTTTTTTACAATCTAGGCTCTTCTGCTTACCCTTGCAAACTTACTGATTCTTTCTGTAATAATTATGAAGAAAATGGATATCTGAAATATGTAATAAATATGGAATAAAAAATTATTTTTATGGTTTGCTATTAAATTCGAGTAGAAAGCGGCATATGTAGTCATGGTTGTGCTACCGGAATTCTGTAAGTTCACTGCCATTCGCTCAAAATTCGTTTAGATTATGAGATCTAGTAGCTCCCTCCGTTGTTGTTCGTAAATGCCACCAGTATGACAATAATTCCTTTGCTCATGCAGCCCTCTCTCGTCTTTTGATTCGGTTGTTCAAGTGTTCGGCGCCCGTGTGCATTGTGCGTGTAGGCATAAATTGCGCAAAATATCCGCTATATGCGCGGATACACCTCAATTAGTGCTCAACTCATTCAGCAGCGGTACAGCATTAGCTCCAAGTCTGCACAAGCGTAAAAGTGGCTTCATTTACTTGATTAAACATGTCTCGGGCAAGTTAACACCGCACTTAACGAGTTCGTCGCCATCTCCGGCGCGCACCTCCTCCTGGACGACGCATCCGTCCCTGGACAGCGTCTAGAGTGATGGAGGAACAGGTTCTCTATTCGAATGTTCCCTGGGACGATGCACTCATGAACTGTTGCTATCGATTCCCTATGTCTGTACAGGGACGTGGAAGTGGACGATAGTTTTTGAGCGCCGAATGACCTCAACATCAGCGATCCGTGAAAATCCTGACGTCGATCGCATTCTAGCGGCTCATCCTCTCTGCAAAACATTGCGCTTCGTGCAGGTTTTGTCAGTTTTCGTTCAGTTTTTCACTTCTGGCATTCTAACCCGCTCCTGGTTTACACCCTCTACTAGAGAATTTATCAGTGTAGGAAAGAAGAAGCACCTGGATCTGTTATCAAGTTTATAAATTGGATAACATGTCGTATTGTGCAACGTGGTTGATTGTTTTATTAGTCAGTTTCAGTTTTGTTCTTTCGGACCTGACCGGCGGTGCCTCAGTAGGCTGTATTCTTGTAATCTCTACTGTTAATAAATCTTCTGCACTAGCAAATCTACTCTATCACACGTGGTCCGCTCCACTCAAACACGCATAGAGGTTTTTACTTCATTTATTTTCACTATCCAGCAAATTTCTTTCCCTAGCGCACTGTCATCGATTCTCTACACTATTTTTCACCGATGTTACAATTGTTGGTACCTGTTTTGTCCAACCTGGTGTTGACGCTCCTCACCTCCCATTATGTCATCACATCTATTGTGCCAACAAAATCTACGTCTCGTTGAACACATTTTTCCAGTGCAAACATCGTATGGCTCAAGAAAAAGGACGGTTTGCACAGACATGTATTCTGGTCGTAGCACTTATTCTGATTATTATTTCTTTTGCACTCAGTGCTGCCGGACTTTTTAGTCCCAGCTGGCAAGTTGTCGATATTCGAGAATTTCGAGCTGAACATCATGTAAGATCATTTACTTTTATGAATATTTTTTGTTTTTTTTTTACTACGGGCTATACTAATCTTAACTGAGAGCTATTTCTGTAAAGGCGGTAGTGCTTCCTAAATAAACTCACTTCTTTGAAGTTCCGGGCCTCATAAGAAGACAAAGGCATTCTTTTGGTAGCCATTCAAGCCACTCATTATTTGGCGCATGAGATATACACCTTTAGCGCCGCCAATCGATTCTTTCGTACCACATAAACCAAATTTACCTTAAAAATTTGTTGTGGACAGAATTAACGGGCTTAGATTAGCTGGACATCCGCCCCTTAGGTTCTATGGGCTTAGTCCTCCTGCTACCTCGGTATACTGTAGCAGGACTAAGCACGATGCTACTGAATGGAGCATGGCTGTCTTTTTCAAAAATTACCGAGGTAGCAGAATGCTTGCAATCGAGGTGCAATTCATGTATACACAAATAATATGAATTAACGTAGTGTTATGCAATTGTTTTGACGGTTTTCTGGAATAAAAAAGACGAAATTATTTCAAATGATTTAATTTCTTGATCTTAAGTCTTCAGTGACTTTGAAAGCCTTCCTCGTGATCACCTTATCGCATGCGTATGGTTAAATTTCTTGAATTTTACATTTTATGCATTTAGTATCACGAATACATTTTCACAAACGGATCTGTCCAACCAACTTATTCTTTAAAGTTCATTAATTTTTCTTCGTCCAAGACCAAGAGCTGTAAAGGCACCTGTACCTTTTTTTCTTAATGAATTCATAATTTTGGAGCGGTGGATAAAATCTGACCAGTTTGCTGAGCATTTTTCAATAATGAATTAGCATAAAGACGCACTATGAGCTGGGAGACTTCCATTTCATGGTTTGAAGATATCTTACACCAATTTTTCAATCTAAAATAGGGTTTTATGACCTTTTGTTAGATTCTCATAAAACACGGTTTTCCAAAATGATGTTCACTTGATGATTTTATTTCCTTTTGCTCAAAGTTTTTCGTGGTATAACCATATTGACGGACTAATCATTACGTCCAGAGCATTGTGAAAAATTCTATTAGTGTATTGCTATACAATTACAAAATTTTCTCTGGAATTTTAGCGTCATGGTGAATTAGCTGAGATTTCATAAAACCTTTTATGACCTGAACTTTACTGACAGATTTTTTAGACAGACCGGTTATAAAATGAATTTTGTAGAGTTTTTTTCGAAGTCCTTCCTAAGGTGTAATCAATGCTTCTAGTGATAGGAAAAGCTGATGTTATGGTATCCAGCTTGAGCTGAAGCAGTGAGGCTAATGCGGGAATTTTATATTTAAAAGGAATCACTATAGATTCACTATCAAAATCTCTGCGCTGTTGAATCCTTTTTGAGGAAAGACTGTTCTTTACTAGTTCAAATCCTCTCGTTAAATGCTACCGTAACCCCGCGGTAATGAGGAGCAATTGGTGATTTACTCCACGACGTGAATTTAGTCAAAGACCGCGTTTTCACATAGCCTGAAAGAGGTAGTAACAGTTTAGTAAGTATATCCTTACAAGACTTTTGTCGTAAGAGTTGAACGCTATAGCCGTGTACGGTCATGTAAACTTCTTTGGCAAAAATCAGTTTTCTCAGTACAAATATAACTTCTAGAAAATGGTTACTGAGAAAAACGAGAAAAGAAAACACATATTGTCTACAACGTGTTACTTGGAGTAATACTAATCTCCTCTATTTAGCACGGTCTCTGGCTTGACTGTGCGCGTGCGGAGCGCTATCTGGCCGCTGTTGGACGGGAATTTGGAGGTGGACAAGCACTTCATTGCACTTACAAATTCGATCAGTCCGCGAGCCAGGTACGAGTTCTTCTCGATTGAAACTAATGCAGGAAACTAACAAAGCGTATTTGGCAGGTGATCGACGAAAACATTGAAGACATCGACCAGAACAGTGCTGCAGGTGAAAGTGAACATCACCATTTCTTTGGTGGGTGCAGGTTTTCTGGTTTCTGCTAATAACATGTAATCTTGAACCGCATTTTATGCTAATTCAGGCTGGCACAAAGCTGTGCTCGGTTGCCTTATCGTATCGTTACTTTTCTCCTCATTGGCTCTTTGCTGTGGTTTATGCGCCCCGTGTAACGGCGGCTGTGCTGTGATATTTACGATATTTGTGTTTTTGGCATGTAAGTCCTTAAAGGCAGTGTCCGGGCAAAAACTCGATTTTGAGATTTTGTGCTTACCCGGTTCTATTCGCTACGCTGAATCCGAAAATGCGCGTTGGAGAGCGCGAAAACGGCGAAAAAGGGCTCTAAAGCAGAAGGGAAATCAGAAGTGGGCGGAGTCTTCCCCACTGTGAGTTTCGCGGTCTCGGCTTCTGAAGCGATTTTCTCAACTCCGCTAGCCCTCTGAAATCTCCACAGGCCAGGTGCAAACGCATGATTTGAAATTGGAACCGAGAAGATCGCTCCGGAAGCTTGGAGCGTGAATCCGTAGTGGGGAAGACCCCGCCCACTTCTGATTTTCCTCCTGCGTTGAAGTTCTTTTTCGCCGTTTTCGCGCTTTCTAATGTGGATTTTTGGATTCAGCATAGCGGATAGGCCCGGGTAAGCACAAAATCTCAAAATCGAGTTTTTGCCCGGACACTGCCTTTAATTCGCTTTTTTTCCCCGAAATTCAGCGGTGATGTTCTATTCTTACTGGATTATTTCTTTTATATTTAGTATTTATGGCCGTTATTGGCGATGGGATTTTCTTCTTCGCTGCGCATCGCGTGGATAATAGATTCGTTCAAGGACTCGTCGGAACGTACGAGGTAAGTGCAAGACTGAGATTGTTCCTAATAACCATTGTGCGACATTTGAATTGCAAATTTTGTTGGGTCATTGCTCTTTAGTACCTTTCAATTAATGTATTCCTGACTTGGTTTGGGACTTGCAGATGTAGTTTCATTGAAGATTATATGTATGAGCCGAAAGTTTTTGAAAACCAGTATGTAGCTCCCATCTCTTCACAAATATTTTCTGATACCATTGGGGTACAGTATCTAATCTATATATAAGGAAACATTGTGCCTATTCAAAAAAAAATGAAATTGCAGGAAACCGCGCGGTTCCTGTAGCGAACGCGCCTGCAAATCTAACACCTTTAGATTAGTGGTTCACTAGTTGTAACTAAAAATACGCTTGTTTCAGCAACGAATCGGTGTGGCCTTCTATTTACATGGTGCGGGTACACTCGTGCTTATGTTCGCTTTTCTGGTATCGGTTGTCGCTTCATACCAGATTCTTCGCAAAACAGAACTTTCAAATTCGTTACCACTTCGAGAACTGGCTCCCTTATACGGTTCCAGGATGAGGGAGACCTTTGCATAGATAATAAACTTATAGATGCTAGGTATAATAAATCGCGTGTACCTCCGATGGTGCGTATATTTTATCATATAGAAATTTAATCGCATCTTTCTTGTTCATTGCTATTGCCTCGTTGTCATTCACTTCTGTATCTCTCTTTCTCTACTTACCCTTTGATTCAACTGGCTTGGCGGTTGGAAGGTGGAGCTTCGTGACCCAATCAAGGCTAGGTAATGATCAGAGAGTACGCGCGCGGGAGAGACGCAGACTGCGTCGCGGGCGCGAGCGGCCTTAATTAGGTCACAAAGTCCCGCCTTCCAGCCGCCAAACCAGTTGAATTAAAGGTTACACGATTCATAACTGCTGCAAATTTGTGCCCCATGTCATTGTTGCTGAATGTCGATCTCTGTGTTGCCAGAATTGCAATGTGCCCATAAAATGCTGAACACACACAGACTATTACCGTAACTCACCCTCATTTATACTGTATCGTAATCACAGAAGAACATAAATGACTCATGAGTGAATAATCTGAATAGAAATTTAGATCACAAGTCTGAGAGGCAATGCTTTGGTGATGAATGCCGAACGCATTCAATGTATAGGCCATTACGATTCGATTCGGCAGAGTAAATGCTGCCAGTGCAATGCTGAACGTTGCCAGAAAAGCAATACATATATAGTGAATGTTGAGATGAGCGAATTACTTAGTAAATGATATAAGTAAAGTGGTTAGCAAATGAAATCAGTGAAAACACAACTGTAACTGAACAAGTACACAGCGATTACATCGATGTCGATACGCGCTACTTCCTCCTTGTCATCATTTGACAAAATTCTGTAATTGTGAAGTTTAGGAAAGCCACTTAATACTGATGAATGAATAATACTGACTGAGCAGAAAACGACTTTTCTAATCTCCTTCAATCAATAAAAAGAACTTTCGCAAAGCTTATGCTCAATGTAAACATGTTAATCGGTCTGAAGAACATAAAACTAGCACTGGCTCTTATGACTACTTATGATAGTCAGTGACAATTGATTAAATAAACAGCGCACCCTTATTTTTTATGGTTCCCCATTATATCTGTTGTAGACTAAGTATTTTATAAGGGAGATTTGCGCGTAGTAATCCACGGCACAAATCTTCATAAGTTTGTTGGTTTGCTAGCAGAATTATTTTACGGATTTTATACACGCCGTAGAAGAAGGACCAGCAGTGAGTCGGTATCCTTCCACCTATAGAAACCAAACACAGTTCTGTCCATTTTTAAGCTAAAAACATCTAACGTGAGAAGAGGATACGAGGATAATCGGCAGACTATTGCAGGAAGTTGTCAAAATTTTCAAAGCATTTCGGTCACGATTGTCCAGTTGAGGTTTCTCCACTGATCTAAGTGTTTTACTGCAATGAATCTAAAGGAATTCTTAGGAGGGCGCGGTTCGAGCCAAGTTCAAGGTTAGTCCTTTTTACTCTTCCTACGCGAGCAAAATCACCATATGAACGTGGTGCCCCCACTCAATTTTTAAATTGCTCGAATAGATGCTATTGAAAGAAGTATGGTCCGTTGGGGTACATACCAATGGACGTGTGAAGGGCTAACGAACCATTTCTGTAACTATTGGATGGTATTGGTATCTGCAATGAGAGCAACTTCCAGCAGAAACGGATTGAGCTAATTTTCCTTCTAGCGCTTTTGTACAGGTACTTGACAATGCATTCCATCTGAATCTTATCGCAAAGAATGAGGGGTATTATAAGCTATAGCCATTCTTACTGTAGCTTTTGAATGCACCATTTTTGAGCTCTGCAGTGAAGCGAGTGTGGACGGTGCCCCAACAGTAGTCAAGAAATATCAGAATGTCGAAAAGCTAGCACAAAGAAAGAGCTACTTTGTTTGTCATAGAGAAAACGGTGCACGAACTTGCTTCCTTATGAGATTGGATGAATTGTTCGCAATAATATTATTGATAGTTACTCAAATGTCGTATAGTACTGGACACTGCAGAGCAGAATGCACTTTTTTGAGTAATACACTTGACTTCATTTTGTGAAGATAACAATCTGAGCATCTTTCTTAATTTTGTGAAAAACTTGAAGTTTCCTCTGGTATTTGGGCTCTCACTTAACCAATCGCTGCCGCAGCGCTGACCAATCAGAGGCGCCGACCAATAAGGCTGCTATGGCGAGAGGTGAAAAAGCGTCGTCTTCATACAGCGATCTTAGAAACTAGTGCAATCGCACAAAAGAAACTATCACACGAGGGCGACCGCATTGATGAAGCCAATAGTACACTCAAATTTGATATGGAAGAACATTGTTTCCGCCTTTCCTAAGCCGTCGTAGCCTCCATAAAAAATTCATAGTGATAGCTTACATATTGTGCTGGGGGTTCATAAAAGAGTAGAAAGTTGCTAGCATTCAAAAGTCCCGATAAATGCCGCTCTAATGCATTTACTTTGCAATGAGAGACTCCGCTTTAGGCGATCATTTTTTGAAGTTTTGATCCTAATATCAAACAGCAGACACTACAAAAACTGCGTTCATAGCAAAAAGTATAATCCAAAAAATACATACCTTGGAAGTTGATCTTTCCATCGTTGTTAGCATCGACATGTTTGTAGATAGCTTTTATATCTTGATCGGAGAGTGAATGACCCATTCGTTGAAAAGCAGTACGTAATTCAGATCTAGAAGAAAGTTTTATCAAGTACTCTATATATTTGTGACAGAAGTGCTGCTCACCTGGTTATGTATCCATCTCCGTCAACGTCTAACTCTTCAAAGACGTTTTTAAGTGAAAGTGAAAGAGGATTTGCATGAGCAATTTGGAGGAATTCTGAAAGAACATATTTATTTAATCATAGATAAGTTAAGCATCAAATTTTAAAAGTGTTTGAAATCGTCTATAAATGTCCTTGGTCTTTTTTTAAAGCGAACAGGACATTTCGTCATTACACTCAACATTGCCGCGTAAGTTTTTATTTGCAGAATTTGCCGAATAATTTGCAGACAACCATATATTTCTTCCAAAAGCAGGTTTTGATTTTTTCTCCAAGGTTAAGTCGATCAAAATAGTGTGCAAACAGCTATTGGATCAAATCATATTTGAAAATGCTCAAATCTTCGCTATCTCAACGCTATCTTCACTCATTTTTGTTTGAAAAAGAAGTGATAGTAGAAGAGGGAAACCGGTTGCGCTTACATGGTTAAATAGACAAGAATTTGGAGAGTTGCAAGAAAGATTGAAATCTTTACTACATACCAGTATCGTACCAGGATTCGAGGGAGGAGGGGTGCAACATTATATTTCTTCGCATGACCGTGGCGTTAGCCAAGCACTCCGAAAATCTTTCTCTGATGCTTTTCAAAATTTTTGCGGGCTCATAGCCCCATAATTTTGAAAAAAGAAAATTTAATCTATGAAGCTGATTCGTTTTCAAAACTTCAGGAAATTATTTCAATTATTCACTAGTGCTATAAACAAGTCACTTGCGCATTCTTTAAACTCATGTAAGCAGCTTTCGTAGCAAGTCCCCCCCCCCACCCCTGGTACCACGGCTACATACGTATAGTTCGTAAATTATTTAACAAAAAATTGTGTTGATGGGATATCTTGCCAAAAGTTATGTTGGAAGCAAAAAGCCAAAAGATCTAACTCCTTTTTCCCTTAACGATCGCTCATAAAAACGTAGATTCAAGAAAACCGCCCTTGATCGTTTCTATCTCCGTGACGCTCCAAAACACTTTTGCAAAGCCAGGGACTTGATCAAAAATTGAAAAAAAAAACCAGATCTGTCAAGATGCAAAACTTTCTTCAAAAGCCTTTGCAGTCACTCAGAATTGCCGAATAAACAGTTAGTTATATTCGCAGACTTAAATTAACTAAAGCGACCTTTGAAATCGATGTTTCCGTCTTGATCCTGGTCCGCAGCGTTAAACATTGCGTCCAATTCCTCTTCGGTAGGAGACTGACCCATCTTCTGCATCACCGATCGCAGTTCATCCTGAATACGTCCATTCAAAAAAACTAACAAAGAACGTAAGCGATTCCAAACCCTCTGGATAAATCCATCTCCATTTAGATCAAATTCGCGAAAAATTCCTTTGAGGTCCTCGTCTCGAATCTCGCCAGCATCCCCACCCTGAACATTCTCAAATTCGGTTTATCTAAGAAATTCCGGCTATTTATGAAGCATTTTGTAGTTTCAACTGCAGATGCACTAGTATTGAGTTGTCGCATGGGTGTTCTGCCAGAAATACTAAGGAAGTTGCTTAAAGGTACAGTCCACCCTAAGTTGAGGGTCTTGAGCTTTTGCAGCGTGATATTAGGGCTCCCAGTCAAGCCAATGCCTAAGTCGCGGCGCAAAATGTTCCTTCGGAATCGAGAAAGTCGCTCCGGAATAATGAAGATGCACGAGGACCCTAGATGGCACCGCCCCCCCCCCCATCCATGCCCGCCCATTTGTGCGCGCCCATCCAATCACCGTTCCGGCGGGTATTGTTGTGGTTTTCGCGCATTCTTCATATTCGGAATCAGGGACATGCGAAGGTCCCGGAACGGTCATGGAAGTCGAGTATCTGGATGGACGGTGCTTAAGATTGTTCAGAAACCGTTACGGTAGCAACATTTTTTGGCCAAAGTGTATGCTGTGTAACATATATTGATAAATGTCTTCTAGGCTGCTAAAATGTCTAAAACAAATTTGATGAGGTGGCGGAGGTAACAGATTAAGTTTCTAATTGCAAGATTCATGGGACTCCGAACCTAATTTCAACCAAAACGTGAGAATCGCAAGTGAAGGACTATTGAAGCCGCATATCTTCTGCAAGCCGCACTTCTAACTAAAAATGTGTGAAGTAAAGCCAAAATAGTGTGGGGGGGGGGGGGGGGGAAGTGGTGACTGGTCTATATTTTGTATGGTCAAGTCATAATTACAGCAGGTATGAGATGTTAATAAGATTGTGAGAGAAATTGGCCACTGATTTCGAATTGTTGGATAGTTGCAAAAACGATAGTGCTCGTCTTTTTAGGAAGATAAGCCTGTTACATTACAGAGGTTGATAGAAAAAGGAGACGGGTTCAATTTTGGAGATACAAGAAGGAAACAAGATTACAACGATGGTTTTGATAACTAGGTAGTGATAATTCGAACAGATCAAAAAAGGTTGGAATCAGACTTTGTAGCTACAGGTTTTTTTTCCAAAATTATTGTTTATTAGTCATAAGCGAAAAGAGTTTGCTGCTGACTCTTGGACGTGGAGAACTATATTTTGATCTCTATAGGAAATGTTGTTGATTCGTGATTGGGGAAAAGCTGAGAAAAGCATAAACTCCCACAATTATTATGACAAAAGCAAACAAATAGTGTTTTTAAGCATTGTGTTAGAACTTTCAAAAGCTTATCTCGTTTCTATGGGATTGTCAGATATTTTTTGCGAAAGTGACATTTCCTTCGATATAGGAATTGTTATGTGGAAAAAAGCATGAAAGCGTGAATGACATAGGAGTTGTTTTGTATCATTCTTCAACAATACTTTTTATTATATTTTGTACTACCAGTTATTAGATTGAAAAAATCATTAATTTGTAAGCATTGTACAGACCAAGCATTCATCTCTAAAATGTTCCTTAACTGTATTCAGAAATATCAATCAAAAAGAAATTTGTAACTGATAACAATTTTTTTCTGTCGTCGATGTGCTTTTCCCTTATCTAGGATGCGACTCGAAGGCAGTGTCCAGGCAAAAACCACGCTACCTCGGTTAGTACGTAACTAAACGTAAGCTCCAAGAGAGGCCCATTTGCGTTAGTCCGGTCCTCCGATGTGACCTCTGAACGGAGAAAATGGACTTCTATTCGCAAAAATGCTCCAAGCCACGCCCGCCCTATCAAGCTCCACCCACCCAGGTTCTAAAAGTCGTCTTTACCTTCACGATAGGGCTCCCAGATATCGGTTTTTTTGTGTTTTGCACATTTTTCACTTCATATCATAATCAGGACCACGAAAAGGCCCCAGGATGACGAAAACATGGAAGGCTAAATTTCGGGTGGACGCTGCCTTTAAGATGTACAAACGATCAAAAATCTCATGGTAAAAACAAAACTGGTTAGTTCCATTTTTGAAGTGTGTAAATCATAGATTTATCATTAGCAACAAGACCTTCATGTTATGAACCTTGCTCTGGGATATGAAGGAATCTTAAGTCTTATCATTTATCGAAGCTGGAAAATAAATTCGAAGCATTCTATCAATCTGCACGTGAAGACAGAAAACATTGCCATTATATTGTGACTATTATTGTCCAGATTATGTTGCAAATGCCACGTAGAACTGCTTACATTTTGCATTCTGTTAACATTTCGACACAATGGTCGCTAACAGCATTGAATTGAACTATTTCTCTCTCAGTTGTAAGGGAGTGAGCGCGGCAAGAACGCGTTTTCAATCGCCGTGTCTCAAGTCATGAAAGAAGAACGAACAGGTCGCGGGTTGGGCACTGCGCAAATTGGCGATACGCTTTGACTTTTCAAATCAATAGATATGTTTTGTACTTTTATCATAAAACATCCTTAAAGGCAGCCTCCCGTCAAGTCATGAATATTGAGATTTTACAGCATTGCAATAGTAGACCCCAAAATAATCTATCAGTAAACTTTGGAATGAAAAAGCTCATTTGGAAGTCTAAAATCACTCAAGAAATCTTCCGGACCCCGTCTCCTTGTTCCGGACCCCGCCCATTTACATGTTATTTTGAGCGAACGAGGACCTGTAGAAGCTCGAAAAAGTATCTTTCAGCCATTTTCATACGCTCAGAAGACCAGATATGGTTGCAGCATGACGCAAAGGCTACGAAAAGGTGAAAAACCGAAAAGCGAGATTTTGTCGGGACACTGCCTTTAAGATTTTGTTATAATAACAAGCATTTTGGCCCTTAGGAGAACCGAGTAGTCAAATTTTCTGTGAGTTTACCCTTTCCATACAATTTTGGAAAATTCAAAGTTGGTTCAACTTTTTTCCACCTTCCCCTCCCTCACCTCCTCCTCCATCATCTTCCTAAACACCTCGGCGCAACCTTTTCAATTCCCCTCCCTCCCCCTCCTTCCCGACCCCAAACTCACTAGGAAAATTACTTAACCACCTAAGAATACCAGTCAATGAAAGGTAGTCAACTCCTTGGCATCGAAAAAAGTGCGCAGCAGTCACATTGTCCTTGAGATTACTTCGTACTTGCGGTGAACAACAACAATTGAAGATGTTTTGCCAGTTTCTGGAATTTACATCATCGACACATATTCTGTACAAAACATCTTTGGAATACAAGCACTTGGCAAATTTTTACTAAAAAACAGTATGCAATATCATGTGAGAGGTGATTTATAGCTTTTTGATAAACTAAATTTATTGCTTCAAAAACTCAGAGGAATCAGAACTTAATAATCAATAATTGCATGAGCCATCTAATAACTACTTCCTTATTCTAATAAAGCTATTTCGGAACCAAAGAGCATATCCGGTATGCATTTCAGAATGTAAATATATAGTTTTTTATTGGAGAGGAGTCGAAATATGATAATGCCTGGCCGTTTATAATAACAATTGAGATATACCGATATGGGCTCATATTCCAAGTCTTTTTTGGTCAGCAAACAAAAGCTCTTCCTTGAGCTGGTATACTGCTTTTACATTAGATAAAAAAGACGATTAATATTGCATAAAGTTTAGAATTCATAGAGAACGATATACATAATAGTTTCGAACAATTTTGATTGTTCGGGCTAGAGGTGGTATCACAAAATAGCAAACATCAATGTGTATCAAATTATGTTTTAGCTTAATATTTGTTTTGCAGGAATTCCGAGAAAATGTAAGAAGCTATAGAAGTCTTCTAGTTTTTTTAACATTCCAAAAAATTGTTGCAACGACAGAATAACAAAATATTCTAGGGTAACGATCTTTTTTATGTTACCTGACACATTTTGTCTTGATTTGAGCTTTACGCGAACTTTTGAATACTCCTATATTGCAGGTGTCTTTTTGATACTGGACTCGAAGGACTGCATGGTGAAAAACCAAGCTGTCAATAATTAATAACGAGAAATTGTTTTTTAAAATAATTTCTAGTACTTACCAGAGACAAGATGGAGGTCAAATTTTACCAGGTTCTATTTATAACATCTAAGATACATTGCAAACCGCATTTAGACCACAAGAGCATAAAATAAGAATTTGGCGAAGAAAGAAGACTACGTGAAGACGTGCTTGAGAAAACTAAGTGCTGTTACTGTACCTACTTCACATAAGGTAGGCGCGGACACTTACAAGGGGGATGCTGATGGGTTTCCTTTTGTAGGATAGTTGTTTTTGTTGGGTTATTGTGAGATGGTCCCAATGGGATCTATGGAATTCCCTAGGCTAAACTGCGCTGTGCAGGAAATCGCTGAGGCAATTTTTTTCTGCTCTGCAGTTGGCAGCGCTTTATTTAGTCAGACCATAATGCGAGCATTGAAACTGGCAATCGGAGCTAGTTTTGGGCGTTGCGCCATGTACATACTCCCACAGATACACACACTACACATTCGAATTCGAAGCAATCGATGTTTTCTATGTCAATTACATTTACGAGTCGATGCATCAATTTGGAAGAATTCCAAGGAGAACGCCCGTCACACCCTGGGTACCGCACCCAACAAACAACGTATCACTGGTAATTAGTAGCAAATTCGATTGATATCTGCTTGATTTGATGAGCGAATTAAGGCGATCAACTAAGCACGATATTTTTTCCAAACTTCTGCATGTGTCCAAAGTTCACAAAAGAACTTGCACTATTAGCAAACAAACATACGGATAGATCTAATGGAGCTGGGAACGCTTCCGCAATGACGTGAAATGAAGTTGTTTGAGGAGAAAAAAATTGAGGTCAACGTTGAGTCACAGAAGACACAATATATAAAAAGTATACAACACTTATAATAGCCGTGAGTCAGGGACTGTAACCACTTACCATTCTTACTAAACAAATAAATAAAGTTGAGAAGATGCTAGAAGAAAAAGGAACTTTGACATTACTCAACTCATCTTTAGGGTTTGTGCAACCCTCGCTAGAGCTAGAAAACTTTAGTTTAAGATAACACAACGCTTATAAGTGATTGTCGTATCATTGTCAGGAAGAAAATTCTAGTATTGCACTCCTTACTGCCTTGGATTACTGTAAGGTTAAAGCTTAGACAAAAACCGCTACTATTGCAGATGAAATGCAAAGCGAAGATGAGTTTGGACATGGTACTCAGATTTCTTAGTATAAATGAGTGTATAAATTATGCAAGCAATTTTGTATTGAATTTTACGGAATTAGTTCCAGCAAAGTGCTATGACGAGATTTACCCTGAAAGTCCGATAACTCGAAAAAAACTCTGAAGAAGGCGATATAGCCAAAACGTTAATCGAATAAAGAAATACAAGTCCCGGTCTACACCTCAACAAGCCACAAACTAGCAACTTCACTATGTCGAGATTAGAGACACTCGAATTTGGACAAGATTCCAAAAAAGTTCGTTTTTTCATTTTGCACAGATTGAACTTTTGGGTATAGTTTTGCATTCTTATGATGTAGAAAGATATGAACGAAAAGTAAATAGGGCAAGTTATTATGAAAAATGTCCTTTGTCTCCTTCAATTTCCCAGCTGAACTTTCTTTTGTTCACAAGCTTCCTGTTGACACAGGAGAAAGCAAAAAAGCAAACAACGCACGCAATTGCGACGTAACGATAAGGACTTTGTGCGAAGTATTAGCCATAGGACCAAGTTCATCGAAAGAGATAAGCGAAGTGACAACTCTGTACTATATGAGGACTTCACTAATGCGTCTGAAGAGCCAAAGGGTCCGAAAACGAGAGCAAGCTGTACCTCTTGAGACTTGCGAGAGTTGCGTGAGCAACAGGTGCCCATGTGCGGTGATCGGGGTTGGCGTGTTAAGTTGAGTGTGGAGGCGAGAGAGACGGGGGGCGAGTTGGCGGTTGGGGACGCGCACGGTGCGACGGAGACGACTGGGCGGGCTGTGCGTCTCGCTTACTCATCACCGGCCGTCGACGTCGCTGACTCCGCCACCGCCGACGTCGACGTCGACGACGACGACCGTCACTACAGTTTCACCTGTTCAAGTATAAACGCCTGGCCCCGTTCAACCCGCTGCCGCAGGTGCTCGGAGCGTTAAGTTCGTTGCACTTGGTGCCGTGACGTAACGCGCCCCACAATTCGCGCGACGCCATGTCATAAATCTAATCGACAGCGATAACTGTGCTGCCACCGCTCGCGCCCTTGTTTGAGCCATCATCCACGAAAGAACTCGACTCCATTTACAGATAAACATGACACACATTGAACGGCAATGTCAATCTCTATTCAATAGTGCGATTTTTGGTGGATCCAGCGAAACACGCTCACGATCTGGAGCAGCCACGTTTTTTTGATATGACTGACGCGTTATCGAAAAAGGTTACCCCATTTTCACGAGTACAAGACGCACTTTTTGTTTTTTCTAAATTCGGCCAGTCTAAGCAAATCAAAAGATTTCGCGACCAATGGAACCTCTATGGTGCTGCTCCTTATCTAGAACTGTGTGGAAGCACAGTGGCCAGGTAGCCAGCTTGAAGAAATGAAAAAGGTGCATTTTTTTTTTATTAAAAATAGGGCATCTGCTTCCTATGACAATTGTTCTCCCTAGAAATTCCCACGATTCCACCTTTTCTATAATCCATTAAGTTTTTGTCATTCCCCTATACACTTGTTATAACAGCGTAGTCGTTTGAAGTAAGCTGCACTTCTCGAGCAACAACTTTGAATTTTCTCACTAAAGAATTCTGTTTTTGGTTAATTAAGTAATAAATTTTTGAGCAGCCTATGACGTATATTGACCAAGCAACTATCACCAGAGCAGTATACGAAGGTATTAAGCAGTAGAAAAAAAGCCGGCAGAGCCCAGAAGTAGATAGAATTTAGAGAAAAACCTGAAGAAGATTATCGTTTAGCTACTTCGGCGCTGGAAAATCATGTTAAGCATGACATATCGCACGAAAAACGTTCAAAACCTTAGAAATCTATTAGAAAACACCTGTTCACTAAGTATTCTAGTTAGGACTCCAGAAAAACATCTGGAATATGTGTTCTTTTAGGGCGACACAGAGAATTGTGACTGTTGACACAAATACTGCGTTCGACAAGGAAGCTTATACTGTTTGTTGAAAGAAAGATTAGGAACTAGAAACTTGGTGTGGTTAGGGAAAACTACTTCTCTCCAGTGTGGTAGGTACATGTCAAGGGAAAGGGAGAGGGGGGGGGGGGGAGAAAGGAAATTGTTATTTGTTAGCATGAATTCGTGCAGACCTCTGATTAATATAAGAACTGGAACACAATAAGTTTCACGAACGAGATGGTTTTAGACTTGTCGCTCTCTTTTATGTCTTTTTAGCTAAGAAAAAACTGTTTCCTCCCATTTTGCGTACATTGTTATATTTTCTCTCTAAATGAGCCATGTTGATACCATTACTACAGTTTAATAAATGCTGATCATCCCCATCTTCCTATGAAAACAATGTGATGTGAAAACTCGGCTAGCATTTACCCAAGCTATTCAACTGTGAAGAAATTTTTAAGAGTTTTGCTGAATATCAATAGCAGCAAGAGGCCACAGCATCTAACATGAAGTCATGCACTCGTTTCTGATTGAGTACTTTTTGTGAAAGCGTTTCAAATTTGCTCAGAAAATTCAGGGCTTAGTTAGAGTCTAGCGGATTTCCAGCACAGCAGAGCAGTGAATAAAAAAAATGACCGCCCGAAGAAGGGCTTTGAGAAAATGGCCAGGATTTGCGGTTGCACTGATAAATCCTCAAAAAATGCGTTCCATCACTAAGGCACTTGCAAGGAGAGGTTTAAATGAAAGACGAGTTCTTAGAGAAAAAACACAGCAACGATGAAGAAGCATCATTCATGGCAAATAGTTTTAAAAATGTAAAAGGTATTACACACCGACCTTCCATGATGTTGCCATTCAAACGGTACTGCCTGAAACATCCTAAATATGATTTGTACGAGCGTTTCGTTCGTTCCACATTCAACGAGACAAATTGACATGTACGAAAAAAGTGGAGCCCAGCAGAAACTTCCATCGACAGAGAACGACAAAAACAATCGGCCTCGACGAGCCTGGTCTATTTATGTCGATCCGAAAATCCATAGAGGCGTTGCAAAGAAGAGCAGATTTAGTTCAAACCAAACCAGAGCGATGACGTAAGCTTTCAGATTCCATTGTTGCCTTTGTCTGCCAAATCTGGCAGAAGCGTTGAATTTGAATTCAACACTTATATCATAGGAGAAGAGATATATTGGTTTGTCCCAAAAATTCCGTCGTTTTCTATCTGAGAATTTGTATCTCATATATATATATATCTTGACGGTTGTGCTTCTGTAACTTTTTTGAAAAGTAAAAAGTCTTACTTTTCAAATATCTTGATGAGCTTCTTATGTACTCATTACAGAGAAAAAAGTGGAAAAGAAGAGGCATTCAGGCCTCGACTATTAAAAGTTATTGTGCAAAAAACTAAAAATGTTGCGGAAAAATCTGAAATTCTCATTGCACAAGTTTTATGACCTACTCTTTATAAATGAGGAAAAATTGTGCTGTTTGAACGTTTCTGCGAAAAGTTTTGAATTTCGAGTTTGCAGTAGAAAAATTGATTTATTCGTCGCTTTTCTTGGACATCACAACTTCGTTTAAATAGCACGATTTTTTCTCAACAAAGACCAGGTTATAAAACTTACATACTGACGTTTCAGATCTTTCCGCAGCATTCCAGATTTTTTGCGATCTAACTCCAAATGATCGAAGATTGAATGGTTTTCCTTTTTCATATCTCTGCAATGAGTGCCTAGAAGCTCCTCAAGAAACATCTACAAAGGAAAACCTTTTCTCTCTGATAAAATTACAAAGAAGCAAATCTGTCGTAGCGAAAAGTCACCGATTTTCAAATATAAGACGAAAGAACTTTCAGGGCCATCCAGTAATTTCGTTATATTTACACAAGTACAAACATGGTTACAGCGCTTATAAACCAACTGCATGCAGTAACCATTCATCGCTACTCGATAACTACATGTGTAAATTGGTAGATATAAATACTTTTTACAAAAATAGATTTATTCTCTTTAAATTTCCTTATAAAGCTGGTTTTGTATTGTAGTATGACACAGTGGGATATATGTAGGCCTGTGGTTGAGCTGGCCAGTATGTGCTGCATACAGGTACCTGTAATAAAGTGATTTGTCAATACAATTTTTAACAGTCACATTTGTAATTAATTCGCTGATAATATCTCATTTCTAATACTCTCGAAACTATGCATTCGAAATGCCAAGGACAATTATGTATAGTTATCGAAGGAAAAACAAGACCTGAGAAAACAAAGCGACGTTTTGTTTGTGGAGTTACTTTCCGAAGAGTTTCATTAATTTGTCGTGATTTCGATCATATTAGCAGTCAGTCCAAAGAATAAAAACGATAAAGACAGGAACATGTTACATTTGTGTAAGCACCTATTGCACCTTCTTTTTTAGTATAGGTTGCGTAGTTTTTAAGAGTGCGTATACCTTTTCAACATTGCTTACGAGCTCAAAATGATTAAGATTTTCTTGGTTTCCACATGACTGTTATTTTATAATCTACTTATCTACTTATACTCTAGGACATAGGCGATAGGGTGAGCAGGGTCCCCTCCGAAGGGAGTTTTGGCTATTTCTGACCTAGAAAAGTGAAGGGGGTAATTGGGCCTGAGATATGCTGACGCAAGCTTACATATCTAACGGGAGCGGGAATGAAAGAACGAAAATAAGTGGTACAGAGGTTTAATATAAAGATTCTTTTAATGCTTAGGCTTTGGAAGGTCATCCAAAAGAGGCTTTTTTGACTCAGGAAAGCTTTATGTTCCATCAGTCGACATACCATTTTAAAGCTTGGAACATACAGAACGAGGTAGACCGTCTCTTTTTTTTCAGCTCTCCTGTGAACTCAGATATAAAAAATCATATTCAGCTCCAGCATCAGCTTTTATGCAATCACTTTGAGCTCCATTTCTAAAAGAAAGAGGAATGCTAGAAGAAAAGAGACAGTCTACGTTTACTGGCGAAGTCTTGTCCTATAATACGGTCAGACAACTGGGCATCTTCATTCAATCTTCGCATAAAAATTACCTCACAAAAACACACATGTTTTGAGCTAAAATGCCATGTATCTTTAGGTAGAGGGGAGCTAGAGAAAAATGGACGCCCTACGTCGAATCCCTTTTTTTTGTGGGCTTTTTAATGGTATATAGGTTGTTGGGTAAAAAAACTTGTGGCTTTCAAAAAATGAGCTGGAGATATTCACTACTTGCTCCACCCCGCTCCGGCTTTCTATGGGTCGCCGGAGCAAGACTTTTTCGGATTGGAAAAGCTGTGCACCAACAATTTTTATACCCGTCGATGGCTAAGAACGCTAGAAATCGACGTAGACCATCTCTTTTTTCCTAGCTTTGCTGTGAATCGAGTTACGAGCAGATTTATCTAGCTGCAATATCAGCCAATTCTGGATAATCATCTTTTCAAACCAAGAAGGTCTTTTTCAAGCTTTTTTATATGTTTCGAAAGCTTAGAAAACGAGTGATCTAACTGCTTTCCTACTATTTATTATTCACTCTAGTGGAAGGAGATATGGTACGATTATCTAAATTTCTCCACCTATCGCAACTATGCTATGGATACTCTTTGAAGAGCTTCCAAAGATATTTTTGGAGCACGTGACTAGTGCTACACTCTTCCTTCCAAAAGTCGCCTGCCTTAAACCTTGATGCGCTTTTTTTCTATTAATGCAAAGATAAACCCTTTTGAGACATCTTATATATAAAGCTGAATGTCTGTTTGTCTGTCTGTCTGTATGTCTGTCTGTATGTATGTACGTATGTTCCGAATACAAATTTTTATTTCTGAACCGATCGGGACCAAACTTGGCACACATATACTTCAGGGCAGGGAGCGTGTCATAGGCTACTTTTCGTTATCGATCGATATCGATTTTATTGATTTTTTGCAAAATTCGAGCTAGAGGGCTGGGATTTGGCAGAGGGGGGTAATCGAGCATGCTGATCACCCCGAAGGGGTGATCAGCATGCTCGATTACCCCCCTGTGCAAAATCCTAGCCCCCTAGCTCAAATTTTGCAAAAAATCGGTAAAATCGACATCGATCGATAACGAAAAGTGGGCTGTGACACGCTCCCTGCCCCGAAGTGTATGTGTGCAAAGTTCGGTCCCAATCGGTTCAGAGATAAAAATTTCTATTCGGAACATACGTACACGGGTCTAGCTGGCAGGCCCGGCGGAGCCGGGCAAGCCAGCTAGTTTTATGATAAATCTCATAAAGATGATGCGCTTATTGGAAGACATAGATAATGTCCTCAATTACTGCGTTTTTGAAAGCATATTCTAAGCCAGTAGCGATCTCCATTTGACATGATCTCATCAAAATTCGACCACTGTGTGTCCAAGTTAGCTTTTATTAGCATTATTTTCAGACCAGACTTTCCAAAGAACCAGCGGATAAATTTGGAAGAATTTAGTATCGTAAATGTATTGTATCATAAAGCTGCCTTTTGAAAACTTTCAACTTGCAAAAATCATTCTCTGCCCAACCACATTAGTGAATTCAATATTATTGAAGAGTGAACGAAATGACTTAATCTTAAGATGATCGCTGATATCTCACGAATCATGGCAAACGTCGTCCACCTTATTCCATACCAGTGAGATTTAATTTAACAAAGCACCTCCAACATTTCTTCACATAAGATATTCTCAAAACCCAGATGTGTTCTCAGTAGTTATTAAAGGTCTGCTGAAACTCCAGAAAGTAATTGCGATTGATAATAAACAAATGCAAAACTCTTAATATTTTAGTATCAACCTAGTATTTTCCCCTTGAATTAGAAAGAAGAAGATTAATTAACTCACTGCTTGTGCTAACCTTTCTGAGCCTCCCAGTAGTTGATACGGCACTTGTGAAGGTGTGAGTTTTGATACTGAATATGACAAAAGTTTTACCAAATACAATCACAAGTAAGCATTGGCAACATTCTAGTCATACTAAAAAAATAAACGACAAGTCATCACCGCCCAATCGGCAACTATTTGACAGCGCTCATTTTTTAAAGAAATAATCTAATTACTAAGATTTGTGCAAAAACCATTCACAGAAGCATGCGGAACTAATACACTAATCACATGATCGATTTAACGATTGCAAATAACTTACTATTCTGATAAGGATTCAAAGATTGCACAGCGCTTGATATGTCGCCACTTCCATTCATAGTGTTCTGACATGCTTGTGCAAGCCCTTGGAAGTCGAATTTATAGGCATATCGTTTTCCGTGAACCTAAGGAGATGATATGAAGAGTGTAGACTCATTTTCTCGGTGCACAATTTAGCATTCAATTGGTGAGGACGAAGTACGAGTCAAGAAGAGAAATAATCAAGGTTATGGAAGAGGCATTGTTTGCAAGATTGACTTACCATTGGGTTGGAGCATAAATCCTGCACCAAAAATTCAAAAAAAAAACAGTCAAAACGCAAAGCATTGCTTCAGTCTGTATAGCACTTTCTCATACTTGATTTACTACCGTAAACATTTGAATCGAGCAGTATCAAAATTCAAAAAAATGAGAATTCGAAAACTGCAACTTCTGGTAAAAAATTCTCCAGCACAATTTAATTCTATTATAGAAAAAACCCTGGATCATAAAACCAATATACGAAATAAATTCCAGGACTTTTCGGCGTTTTTGATAATTTGAAGTTGTAAGGACGCAGCTTGAATGTTTGTCATCAATAAATTCTGTTACGCTGTATGACAAGATTCTTGCTTTGAGAATATTCAAAAGGAGTAAGGTCCTTTTTACAGTTTATATTATTCCAAACAAACTGCTTGAACCTAAAGGAGAATATGAATTTTTCAAAATTTGGTGGTAAACTTATGTTCCATAATACATCAAACTGCGAACACTGAACCTGTCTTCACTTGTGACTATTTCGTTCTTAACTTCATTTAGTTAACGCTTCTGCGAAATTTCCCAGCTGCGCGGATATTATCGCGGATTTTCATTGGTGATACTGCTTTTTATTACTAAATTAGGCAAATGAGTAAACATATAAGCACCAAACCACCTGAAGATTTTTAGAGTGCACTATATAAAAAGGTCATTTAATGATGATTCATGTGATGAGAGAGAAATGGCGCCAACTTTGGAGGCTTATTCACCCAGAAAATAGCCCAAAAACTTGGAGCATTAAATGCCTGAAGTCAAAACAGTCTTCTTTGCATGAATCACATCTTGATTTTCTAATTTCTGCTCATGATTGAGAAGCGGGGTCAGTGTTATTTGACTCGACATTTTACTTTTATTTCCAAAACTTCATTTAAATGCGAGCAAATTATAAAAATAGATTTGCATAACTTGAAATTAGTTGAAATGAAAATTGCTTTGTTTAGATTTATGCATACTTGACATAGATGATCTCAAGCTTCTTGCTACGAAACATCAAAGGTTATTTGATGGAATAAGATAGCATATGTTATGACGAACAATTTATCTAAAATTGAACTTGCTCCAGTTGGACAAACAGCAGGTGGAAGATACGCAGTATCAAAAACTGATTTGCTGACGAGCATCTTTCAGTATGAAAGGAATTCTATCGAAGAGAAAATGAAGACTTCTGCTCTTTTTCCAATCAAAAATTCTGAGGTGATTCAAAACTTCTCATCGTATAAGATCTAACTGTTTTCATGTCCCTCTGAGGGTTTCACAATGATGAGATGTTTAAAACTTTTTTGTTCACGAAAAATCATACATGCTACTACTACAGGGTTACTGTGGTACTATTCAAAGTAGTTTCCCCACTATAAGCTAAATTTTGCTTCAAGGAGCCAGACAGGCTGAATGTCATCCGCGATAATTTCAATGTATACATGTATACATTCAAGCCAGCTTTGCAAAACGCAAAGAAGCTTACCACCGGACAAGAAGTTCGAGAATCAGTGCACAAATATTAGCTTCTCATCATATTTTAGGACTAAGCTTTTCGGAGCTAGTATTCTAGCAGCTCCTATTCTGATTCTATAGTTAAAAGTAGGGTCGATTCCTTGTTTCGGATTTTTGGAAGACCCTGAAGGAAACCGAGGCAGCGTAGTTATCAAGTATCAAAGAGTGGGGATGTTTTTTTGGGCACATTATGTAATTAAAATGACTGACCAGCAATTTCGTTCAAGATTTAGTACAGTGTATGGCAAGGAAATTCTTATTCCAATAAAAATGTGTCATAACGTTTTGCTAAGAAGCTGCTGTGTTGTTGATGTATATCTGCACGGAATGAATGTCTTTGATATCATATTCGGCTGTTCAAAAGCTCTGCCGGCAATTCAAAATTTTGCTTTGTTTTATTGATAATCTCGAGAAAGTATAGAATTTGAGACCCAGGCGGTCAGGGTGCGGCAAAAGTCTGGGAGCCTAGTACTTTTTCGTACAAAACGAGAAGGGAAGTACCTAGAAACGAAAAATTTGACGCACACATAATTCGAACCATTGCAGATACAGCCCAGTTCTTGAATTGCAAAACTGCCTCTTTTACCTTCCACGCAGCCCTACAAAATCTTGGCAGGTCCACCTGTCATGGCACGCAGGTAGTCGTAATGGAATTCGCCCCACGCCTTCAAAATAACTGCTTCTTTTACCTTGGCAAATGCGCAGCATGATAGAGCAAACTTTCGTCTACAACATACTTCCAAAAGAATTTTTTGCATTGCTTAGGGATAAAAATATTGGATTTTAAATTAGAAGCATGTGTAGTCGCATACCGGAATTTTGGCTACAATTGCGCGAATAAAAACTCAAAAATATCGTTTAAAAAGTATAAAAAGTGTTACCATGGCCGAATTTCAATAGATTCTAATTTAGAAGATGTATACAAAGAATACAGCCTTGGTCTCAGTGCCTGTTGAGCATTCTATAGCTTTTAAATTTGTTCTGAAGACGGATTTCCACTGGCACGTGGGTAACACTCGCAAACTTTATTTTCCGTTCATGCAAGAACAGCTCCTGGCAAAAGCAAAACTAGGATACAATAGCGCAAAGCCTCTTCTATGTTGTATGCATCGAAGTTTTGTAAGATATTAACAGCATCTCTAGCTACAGCAAAAATTGTAAATACCAAAAATTCTGGTTTTTTCGCTTTGCAAAAGTACTACTTTGTAATCTCCATTCTTACAAACACATATGGCAGCCATTTCCAGCCAAATAAAGTGCATTCTGTAGAGGATGACCGCAGCATCATGTGGCATAAAAATGAAATCAAAACCTTTAGTATATTTTCAATTGCAGTACTGCAAAGTTAGGCTTCCAGACTTTTGCCGCACCCTGTACATACAGGGCGCTCCAAAAGTAAGTACACTTTAATCTTTGATGACTGTCTTTCTACAAAGTACTTTGAGCTCCAAGTACTGTTCTGTAAAGCAGGCTTCAACTGGGGAGAACCGCCCATCGCTTTTCATGGGATTACGGTAGGAACTTTCAGCATACAGCACCATTATGATATGAGCCGTTCGAAATTAAGTTTAAGAAGAAGCTGGGTAGTTGCATACAGTGTTTATAGACATACTGTTTTCATGAAGTTATAAGACAGTTTTTACGAGTCTTTTAAGCAACATGTGTGTGATTCAATCACATCTTCAAAAACATTAAAACAAGCTTGCGCTTCACCTGGCTTGACCTACGAAAAAGCCTTACGGTAATTGTACGAAATCATAATTAGCGAGCCCGTTTAGCCTGGGATAAAAATTTCGGCCAGTCGAGTACCTATTCTGTGGCGATATAGCTACTGAAAGTACAAAACCCTCTTTGAAGTTCCTAATCCTACATCAACGAAGAGAGATGGGTGATTCTCTCTATGCTGTGAATCTAAGACGAAGCCTGCTCCGTCGAATAGTACCCGAAGCTTTGTGGAAGACTTTGTGGGAAGAGAGGTATTAACGATTAAAAAGTGTGTACTTACTTTTGGGACACTCGGTGGATGGTACTTTATCTCAAGAACGCCTTCACTTTGCAAATATTTGCATCATCTGCTGGAAGTTGAAGTTCCTTGGCCCGACCACATCTACGAAGCTTATTCTTTTCCCTAATATTTTGTTATACAGCTCTTACAGAGCTCTAGAGGAAATTTTAGGATTCTAGATTGTAGTTGGCACCTCTCGCACTAGGCAAGCGTTTCAAACAGCTCCGTTTTGCACCGTAAGGTCTCAAAAAAATTACTCGTACTTTTTTGACGCCAAATAATTTCGTTGGAAAATGTTGCATCTTTAAAAACTACGGTGCGAAGTTACGTAGTCATAGTAGTTGTTCATCAAGCCAAGATTCTCAAATTGACTTTATGGCAAGTTACCGCAGATGTTAACTTTATCAACATCGAAAAGAAAACCATTATAATTTTCCCGTCACTCTAACATTCTAGCAAAGCGAGAAGAAAATATTGCCGGGCTCTGCCTTGGCAACAACTTGAAAAACGAAGTCATGAATTTTCTGGAAAATAGCTCTAATGTAAGTGAAATCATTGTGCTGCGAATTCCAGTTTTGACACCAAATTGGTGAAAGAAAAAGTTATACTTCACGATAAGCCTACCTTGGTCATAATATTTTTGTCATAGTAATATCGAAGTGCCCTGCTGAGTTTATCGTAGTTCATGTTGGGTTTGCTGAAAATAAAAATAAAAGCAGTGAGATGAGACATGGTATGGATAGATCGAACAATCTTTTTGAGAAATTTTCTTGCATAATGCAGGCCATGGACAGGCTTCATTCGGCAGAACTATTTACAAAATGAACTGAATCCAAATCGTTGGCTCACCTTTTGCGTTCCCCCCACTTTCGAGCTACCTCATCTGGATCGACAAGTTTGAACTCGCCACTTCCGCCCTCCCATGCTATACAGTGAGCATTCGAGGCTGCATCGGCGAGCAACTCAAGCAGAAATTGCCATAGCTGAATTTGACCACTGCCTGAAAAAGAGAATTTTGTGCACACTTGAGCGCCTTGATGTGAAGTAGCGGAAATACGAAACGCGCATTCTTAAAACTAGTGTGCAAATGTAAGTATATGATTTTCTTATGTGGTTTCCCTTGGGAGGCATGAAGTGGACCAATGCTTCAGCCGTCGCTGATGGGATTTAATCATAACCCGAAAATTCAACTCTAAATTCCGGATACCATACTCTTTCAGGCAAATCAATCTTTGTTCCTAAGTGCGGTAACGGAAAACTTAAAGGTGAATTTTTTCCGTCAAGAAGCTATGATTTGATTGTCTATTCCTAATCAGAATCCAGTACATAAGTTGGTTCCTGTTCGAACTCGGCCGGAAAAGCGCCCTCAACAACCAATACTTGACCTTGAAGATGCCACGTCTGCCACATCGAGCTGTAATAAGTCAATGGCCCACCGTCATTCTAAATGCTGATGGAAAATATGTGAAAGCTGAACGAGTAGAATTCAAATAATGAATGAAGAGTATGATTGCAAAAAAAGCATTTAGCCATTACTTCTTTTCAGTTATGATTCAAAAAATCTCGAAATGACTGACTAGTCAATTCGAATCTTGTTTTATATCACTGTTTCAAACACTGGTATAGGATAGGTGTAAGGAAAAAAGACAAGTAGATGTTCTATGTGGAAGTTTCTTGTAGATCTGTTGCTCGCTTTCCTAAGGCATACCTCACGCGATTTTAGTTGCTGCGTGATCTGCCATACGAGAACTCTTCATAGCTGGTCGTAAAGCCCTTTGCTTGAGCCAGACTTGTTACGTCTTGTAAAACTTAGGAATTCTATGCGCCCATACATCTAAGAGTCGCGCATGCTTGATCTGTAAATATCTGGCAAATCGTCAGATCGCGGAAATGTGGTGATTTCGCGAAATCGCGGGAGGTATGTATGCCTTAGGCCTTAGTAATATTATTTTACTACAGGATGGAGCACAGTGATGTATTGGGTGAATCCCCTCAGCGAGTTGAGTATGAACCTTGTTGTAATTTCAAAATCCGTCTTCATGGAAGCATGGAAGAATAATTTCTCTGCGTGGACGACTAGCGCATTTGAGTTACGGAACAAATTTGCTCTCTTATCACATTCACGACAACACGACCTATGAGTGGGTCGTACGTGCCTTCCATTTTGGACAATCCGACCCACCGTGGGTCGTAAGATTGCTGAAGCTCTAGCTTTGCCAGTTTACGATGGATTTCACGGAGTTCTGGCTCATGATTGGGGACATAGGCGAAGCACCAGCCATAGGGGTCCGGGCTCGGGATACTGTAATGTACTTTAACGGTAGGTATACCATAGATAAAGATAAGGCGCAGAATTTAGCTCCAATTCTTCGCAAAATGATGTTGTTTCTGAACATTCAAGTGTGCATGCACAAGAAACACGGGGTGGGTAAGAGATTCATGTTAGCCCATCAAAAATATCTATTTGATTTTAGTAATTTTTTGCACTGTTCATCCCAGGTAGCTGAAATCTTACATGTATAGGCTTGTGTAGCATGTTGATCAAGAAAATGTTAGTCTAAAGTTCTAATACCGCCTTCTTACATCATTTTTTTGATTTTTACGAAAATTCCACCATACTGCTACCGTAGCCCCACTGTGGACAGTAGTGAAAAGTGGACACTGTAATTGTGATCAGCACGTGAAACAACGCCAAAAACAATTTTTTCATGCAAATAGATGATGTTGGGTCCCTACAGGATGACCACCGCGGTCTTACAATATAATGCTGATAACTGAAATAAATCATATTTTGATATCCAGCGCCTTCGATTACTTCCCTGGGCATATCCCTAGAGAAATGTTCTCAATTTTCCAAAAGGACTACTATTTCGGACGTGAAGCGAAAAAGGCTCTGGTCCGAAACGGCAGTGATCGAAAAATCGGCATTGTCGTGAATGTGTTAAGAGAATCCGAGACAAAGAATGTCTGATCTTCTCATTGGCTTTCCGTTCTTGCAGAAAAGAGACGGTTAGTCGAAGTAGCATTTTAATATGTGATGTGTACCTCCTTGGGAACCGTGGAACACTAATTTCAGATCTGCCTTTTTTACCTATTGCGGCCTTTTGTCGAGGAGTTATAAAAGTTTTCTTGAGCAAAAATTGAATGCATGATTAGTGAAATCAGATGTCAACTTTTACTGGCATTTGAAGGATGCAGCAGCGAAATGATTTTTTTAAAAAGTAGGAATGATTATTGCCCAGAGGAGTGCAAAAACCTTATTAACTACAGCTCAGAACCTTTGCAAAGTTACGTCTACTTAAGCTGCAAATTTGAAATTGCTCTCAAAAACTCTCAAACTCCTTGACCAAAAACCCACAGCAGATGAAGAAGGCAGATTCAAAATCAGCGTTTCATGCCCTTCTATATATACATTTCATCTTAAAAGGCCGCATCAACTGGCTTTCCTTATTAGCGTCAAGTTATAATTTTTCCGATGCGCGTGATGATGATGTGCGCTTATAAATAACTGCAGTCAAAAATTAGTGAAATTATACTTTGAATGCGTAGCTAAACATTAGTAATATAGCAAAAATAAAGCTAATTACGACAGGATTATGATACATTCGCGTGCGACTCACTGAGAGGATACGGTATAGTATACGTTTCGCACTTTTCTGCTGAACAAAACATTTGTGAAGGAAATGGCTGACTTTCGATTTTTACTCTTCGCGAGATCAGTTTCTAATACGGCCCACGGTTGTTCTGGATGCTCAAAAAAGTTATCAAAATGTAGCTTTAAAAAATAAGCAACCCACTAATCCAAGTCCATTACACTTTCTGCTCTGAAGCTGCATTAATCAACATATGTACGCCACCAGTTAGACTCTGGTTACGGTAAGTTGCTAAAAGCTTTACCCGGAGAAATTGTATGGCGAAACTAGATATCACTATTCTCGAAGTCGCTACCGTACCTTTTGCAAAAGTCGGACAATTTCAATGAGCTAAGCTGATGAGCCCCCCCCCCCCTCCCCCAATTCAATGGTCTTGTCTGTTACCACTTCCATGAGCACGGCTCAAATCGTTTTGGTAATAGCTCTACCTGAAATGACTTTGGTTTTGTAGCAAACTGGCTATCATTAGAGTTGGTAAAGAAGAGCTAGTAGCAGCATATGTAATCCTGCTCATATATGAATGCTCTTATGTTTAGATTGGAAATTAGAAAATAAATCAAAATATTGAGCTTTCCTCTTCCTGTTTCCAAACAACAAAGGCACAAGTATTGCCGCAAAAGAATTAAACACGAATTCGCTATTTTAATTACTGTAAGGTTCAGTTCAATAACGATTCACCTTGATTTGGCATCCGCGATAGGAGCGAGGTGTACTGCAGACATCCTGAAAAGCTTGGCTTCAAAGAGCAAATTCTAGACCTGGTCCAAAATCGAACAATAGCACACTGGCTGAGCAATTACGAGTTAAAGAAGGTGAATGCTGCTTATGCTTCCATGGACATACAGCGAACTAATCGGTTGGTCGATAAAGGAGAAACACTTATGAGGCAAGGCTTGTTGAAGAAAATAATATTGATAGATAACTGCTTAAGGCGAAATGGCCCCGAGGAAAACAGAAAAGCCGGAGATTCCTTGCAATCAAGTGGGTAGTCAACAATGAACTTTTGAAATTTTGCTTTGGCTTATACCTCTAAAATTGCCATTCGCGGTTATTATTGCTCAAGAATTAAGTACTAGAACTTCCTAGAGCACTCATCAAAAATTTGGAAACAGTTCTTATTAATTCCCCCCACCCCCCCCCCCCACCCATATCTACCCCAAATAAGACATGAGTGCATCCAACACCTATCAATAAGAGAGCGAGAGAGCAGTAATGGCTTTCGATCCTTGTTATCTGATACAGCAAGACAAATATTCGCATTTGTATGCAAATTGAAACCTAAAGGACTACCAAGGAAAAACTAGCAAATGAATAAGAACAGTGAGCATGGAAAAGTTTGGAAAAATACAAAAAAAGTAGAAAGAATAGTAACGTTCCCTTACCTGAGTTGAGACGAGACGTTTCCGGTTGTGATAACGATGTGTCCCACGGCGTTCGTGGACACATATTTTCGTATCCATCTAAGAAAATAGAAGTTGATTGCGGTAGTTATTTATTGTGTAATTCTATTGATTTTGGAAGAGGTCCCGAAGAGATTATGCGTAGAATGAAGAGCTCTTTACATTATTTTAGCAATTCCCAAAATATTTGTACTTGCCATCCCACTTGCCTTCCTAAATGCGCGACATTTGAGCAATACTCAGTGAAACGTGAAACATTCTTATGGCGCAGGTAAAGTCTACAGAATTTCTAAGGCTAGATTATAGTTTCTATCGTCGGAATGATCATAGTTAAATCGCTGGGTTGTAGTATTGTTTTGTGAAACAAAGTATGATGAAAACCCATAGCTAGGTTACAAATCGAGATAATACAGGGATGGAAATTAGTGTCGGTGCTGAGAGCAACCATTGGCATAGCTGGAGGCAGGGTATGAAGGGGAGAGGAAGGAAACGGGGTTTCCGTCGGGTCAGGAAATAAGCTGCGGAAGCGCCGCTTCCGCTCTATTGTGGAACTCGGGCAATGGCCGAAAAAAGACGCTGGCTGGTGTCCGGAGTTACCTAGCCGTCAACACTACTTCTGAAGCTTGAACGACGTTGTAAGCTGTGATGGTTGCAAAATTAACAAAACTCACTTAGAGATGGGTACATGTTTTCTGTGGGTGCTGAGGTAGCTGGAGCGCTGAGTGCTCACAGCGAGCCCGCCCGCTTCATGCTCGGCTACCGTAATATCGGCATGGCAACCAGTGGCAATTAGACCACACTTCCGATTGGTCGGCTACCTTCCGTAACGTTGGATTCACTGCTAATGGAATTTAGTCAATGTTTGAGACATCATATCCACATAACTAATTGCATTTTGCCTTATGTTAGGATTGTGAATTAAACAGTTCACTAATAATTAGGCTGGTTCATAAGTGTTGCATCAAAATGTTCAAAAATTCGTAAGTATTTGTGCTTTCAACCAATTTCTTCAGTTCAAAGCAGTTTGAATAGAGAAATTCGCTTTCAAGCAGTGTTTCATGCAAAAACTTTGTTGGCATGTCAAGGTGATACAAGCGGATCGAGAAAAATACTGAAATTGCAATTTTCTGAGTGTTGATTTCTGGAAATGTTAGAAGGTGCAAGAAAAACCAATCCCATCATTATGTTTTTGAGGCTTAATCTTTTTGAATGAAAGATATTTTTGATGAGTGCATGCTTCTTGTCATAGTTACGATTTTCAACTTCTTCAACACACATTTCGCCTCTGTTTTTAAGATCTCTAAAATATCAAAAATTTCAGACCATCGCTTTAAATATTATTTTGGAATTTTTCGCAAGTTGATGCAAGAGTTATGAATCAAAGTGCTATACCACATTTCGATATTGTAAGCCCCCTTTTTCTGAGAAAAGTTCATTAGCAAATTATGATCCAACTATGTACAAGACAATCAAACTATTTCAATACACTTATCTACATCAACGTTCAATACACGTATCTACATCAACGGTAAATTTTCTGAGAATATCGTAGATTATTATGTCATAACGTTTGCATGGCGTAACCTATGGCAAAAGTGTAAACATTGCTAGCGATGTCGAGCTTTCGCTCAAGTGACCGGATTGTTGGCAGAAGCTCGGATGCCTTGATGAGCACAACGTTTGAGACCTGCAATAGAGAATGATATATAAAGTTGTTCCATCAAAAAGAAGGATAATTGAAGTTGAATAGCCAAGCGAAAAACTTGTTGTTGCTCCCATAAAGTGTAGACTTATTTTTGAAAGAAAAAGAAAATTTAGAATTTAGAATTTGCTTTCTAGTGTCTTGAAAGATTTGCATAACGCATAGATCATCATAATTTTGCCTGTGATAGGGTAGCAAGCGTCCCCAGACGTGCCGAATAACATGCTTTCACTCAATGAATAAGATCATCATCGATACTGTAGAAATACTGTAGGTACCGCGAGGCAGACAAATCCTAATGAAGAAAGCGTAACTACTAATTTAGATCAAAAAGCAGTTTGATACACACATTCGAATAAAACTTAGTTCAACGAACATTAGTAAGAGACCCGCCCTACAGAACGGCGTATCAGGATCCTCCAAAGGCTTGCCGCTTCTTCTCCATGCGCGCCTCTAGGAGGCAATAATCCCTCGCGCTTATGTCGCACTTGTCTCGCACATTCCTGCGATAGTTCCCCTCCGGACATTCGTCTTCTTTCTCCTAACATTAATTAGAAAGGTCACAGCTTGAGCAGCGATTTTACAGTCCTAACAAAAGATGAAGAGGTGAAAGTGTCAGTAATCAACAAATGGATGTGAAACATTCCGTCACTTTAGTCGAGGTGAATTAGAAAGGTTGTTATTTTTGTAGTCGGAAAGGTTACCGCACCAACGATTTGTCAGTAACGTACAAAAATTGTGGAAACTAAGCTGACTGACAGACAAATATCGTCGATTCATGACACGCAAAGACTGGGCGCCGTTGCGTCCGACGAAGATAGTTTGTGCATAGGAGAGACGGCAGACGGTAAGAGAAACGAAAGAACCCTCGATCACGGAGACGCCGATATGTCCGCAGTCTTTGCGTGCTATGAATCGCCTATAAATCCCGCTGTGGCTATCGAAATGTGGCAAATAAAAAGAAGCAAACGGTGATTATGTTTTCCCACCAGCGGAGCCAAGTCACGAGCATCTTTTTGGATTTATACAACTTCAGGAACACATTGTACATCATTTTTTGGCAGTTCATTAGGTCCGCTGCACCTAATTTTGTCCTTATGGGAACCGACGCTTCAAATGGGTATGTTAGTCAGCAGGACCATAATCACAGAAGAAATTGTCGAAAATTTCTTTATAATTGATTTTTCTCTTACATGCCATGTTTCTGCAAAACTTCCACCTGGGGAAACTTTTGAGCTTCTCTTTTTGCAAGATTGCACTCTGAGCTATAAAATAATTTCCACAAAAAGGATGCAGACTCGATTAAAATACTTGTTAAGCATCGTACATTAGTCTGATGTCATCTGTACTTTTCGACTGTTTTCTGGCCATGTATTGTCCACATACCTTTTCTTTCTAAGCTACACTCCCATAATAAATACAAAAAAGCCCGTACTTCCTTTGGAGAAATGCTTCGCAGATACAAAAGTCAGCATTTCGAGCTCTATATACTATTGGTATGCATCAACTTCTAGCTTGCCATTTCAACCAAATGACTCCCGGCAAGAGGCACTTTCCTTGTCAGCCTACTTTTATTATTGTATTAGTTCCCACAGCTTTTCGTTTTCTTGTTATCATTGAAAAGTCGTTGTTCAAGGGGTGACCTTTCTAATTACTGCTAGGAGAAAGAAGACGATTGTCCGGAGGGGAACTATCGCAGGAACGTGCGAGATAAGTGCGACATAAGCGCGAGGTAGGCGCGAAGAGATTATTGCCGCCTGGAGAAGAAGCGGTGGGTCTTTGGAGGATCCTGCACGCCCTTCTTACAAAACTCATGGCCATTATTTTTTTTATTTGGGCAAATTCTTTGCTGAAAGTGACTTAGTAAGGGGGTTCGTAGAAGTACAATGTAGACTTGAATATAAGAAAAATGAATCTAACCTCCTCATCGTCTAATTGCTGATTTGGATGTATATTGACGTCTGCGCTCTCGTCCACATCCGCTACAACATGACGAGTTGTGTCATTCAACCTCGATGGCATGGATGGTTGCTTTCCGGAGGAGCTAAGAAAATGATATTTGTCATCTGAAGTGCTGATAGATCACTTATACCTGAACAATACATTTGCTACATATCCGGTCTCTTCTTTCAATTCGCGCAACCCCGCAGAGATAGGCGATTCGTCTTTTTCTTGCACCCCTGAAACGAGTATGTTTTTCTGAGGACATGAATCACGTCACTTTTCTCGGCGACAAGACACACCTCCAGGAAACTCTAATGTCCAACTTCCCGTTGGGATTCTGTATTGCTTATTGAAAACGAAGTAGGATTCTCCATCGATTCTCAGCCTTGCGATTACGTATACACCGTTGGTCTGATCGGCGTCTTTTGGTGTGGCAGTGTTCATCACTTCCCATACCTAGAAACTTACATTAGTCGATATCCGGTGAATTGCAGGGACAGACAATTAAAATTCCCCCAAACTCAGCGTTTTCAGGAGCAAAAACATGGAGCAGGGGATATAATGTTGCCCATAAGCTCCGCCCACACGCGCCTGGCAGAAACCATGCATTTGAGCACATTACAATCAGTTTCATGCACACCTGCGAAAGAAGGTCCCCTAACGGAAAACTGAGGTTTGGCGTTCTCTCATCCAGCTGTTTGCATTTTGTATGCTCGCCTTCTAAATATGTCCCCCCCCCCCCCCCCTCCCCCACTCAGAATTTATATCTGTTTTATCATTCGGCGCATAAATCCTCTATCTTGAACAGTCAGCGTCAAGCTCTGCTTTAATCACTTCATGGATTGGCGCTGGAACTTCGCATTGTCAGCTGTTTGGTAAGAGTGATTATCTTCTTCCGTCATCTTACTTGTTCTAGAGGTGCTAAGGCTAACCATTTTTGAAGTTTCATAAGTCTTTCATACCATAGCAGTCCGAGAAATTCTTTTTTAGAGGAGGGGGGGGGGACAGAAATCTCATTCGAATGAAGAGGTAAAGTGTTAGCCAGGCTATTCGAAAAAGGGTATATGCTTTCCAAACCTTCTAATAGCTTGTTACACCAAAGTTTTGATGAAGCTGGTGGAGGCAGCCTCACTTTTGTCGAAAATGTGTAGCTAATAAGCTTTCAATGCACCTACAAACCTGAGCTGAATCCTCACACGATATTTTATTTTCTAGTTCTCTCAGAACAGTCAATCAGTGAATAAAAAAAATGACTTGTGAAACATAAAGACTCTCGCAATGGAACACAATGAAGCTCACCCCAACTTTTCCTGATTGTCCGGTGAAATATACAACAGTGAGATTAGCATACTTTCCATGGTAGGCTGTTTCCTGCTGTATTATTTGGAACGGAGAGCTGGCCGATTCCTGTAATAGCTCAGATTCCATGCCATTACACAATTTTAGAATTTTCTAGGACCCGAGCCCATGATTTTCTAAGCGAAACAATAATGTTCTTTTGACAAAAGCACTCCTTGCCAACTAAGCTGGATCTGCAGGTTTATGTACTATCATACTTATATCTTTTCTTGAAAACAGCTTGTACCCCACGCAACTGTAATTCAATGGTTGGGGGTTTTGATATCATTTGTTCTATCTCTAATCGGGCGCTGTTTTACCTCAACGCCATCCATTGCCTGATATGGCGATCGTTTATAAAGGTAAGACAGCGCCTGATCAGAGATCGGGAGAGTGATAAATACCGCCCGTCTAGTGCTTGATGATTACTTGGAAGAATGATGTACGATTTTTTGGTGCCTTGATTTCCATCTTTTCAGACAAAAATGAGCCTAATTTATTTAACTGATTGCAGAATAGTGTTACCCGAACGTGTAAACCAATACGTAGTCGAAGATTCTTATCAGAAGTGCCAAGATGACCATGCTTTCAGCAAACAATTTTCTTAAGTGCTACCAAATACTTTCACATTTGTTTATAAAGGTTGATCGAGTCTATCCAATCTCATACGAATTGAGCTCAATAAACTGCAACTGTGCGTAAAGGTCTGCAAATTCAGAATAAGAATTGCATTTTTACAAAACTGAGACACCGCTATAGCTTCAACTTCCGTTCACGATTTCTTGAATCCGCGTCATGCTTCTAGATCTCGTTTATCTTCGTTAACGCCTCTGTTGCAAACAAGTTTTGGGTGAGCGCAAAGGACGGGTAAACTACAAAACTCGTTAATTCTTGCACTACGCAGCGGCTATCATAATAGGTTTAAACACAGAGTTTCCATAAGGTTCTATTTGCAACATAATAAAGTTTTGCAAAATTTCAAACTGAGAATATGAAAACGATACAAAAACTGCTTTTCAACAACGCAGACCTTGAAATAGAAACGTTTAAAGTATCTCAAGATGTTCAACATGGATTTTGTTCAATGTTTGTAGTAGGTACTCACTGAAAACTAAATTCCAATCGAGAATGTTGGACATGATTGTACTTCTGTACGTTTGAGCAATACGACCAGTGGGAGGAGCTCAGGACCTCTAGCGGCGGAGTTGCCATTTTACCTCACTCATTTTTTTCTTTATTTCTAGCCATGGAAAAAATTCGGAAAGTGTACAGTTGAATACGCTATGTATCAAGCATATGTTAGGATAAATGGGGAATTTTTTAGATGATTTGGGGCACAGATACGATTTTTGACAGAAAAGTTCGTTTTGACTACTATCAGATTTCAGCTCAAAACTTCACAAGGGATACGAGTTGTGCAGACTTTTGATGGTCGTCTTGTAGAGCTTGCTTTGCCCTGTCAATGATTACTCAACTCATCAGATGAAGGAAAGATGCAAAAATACGGCGGTTGTAGCAAAATCGGTAAAAAAAATTATGAGACACCCTAATAATTTTGACAAAGGATCGTGAAGCGAATTTTGTTTGTCACTGAGAAGGGCAAATAAAATCTCAGTATCCCCCATAAGAAACTTTTGTCAAACAAAATGGGTTATTTAAAGCGCATTTTCTGCAAGCCAGCAAAATGAGTACTAAAATTGTAAAGTTTTTTGTCCCTCTGTATTCACACTTCAAACCAACTTGATTTTTTGACTCTGTATCTTCCGCCATACCTGATCTAAGTTTGAAAAATCTCAAAGCACCAATCTTTGCACTTGAAGTGTTTGCTAGTGTGGAAACAACGTTATCAAAGCATTTTACGGCTATGTTATCGACTATTCGTACTTACCGAAACAACTGGCAAAAAGCCAACAATCAATGCTGCCATTGCTACTGCCATTATATTGACTAGATCGATGTCTGTGTGTGCTACAAATAAAAGGTTGCTTTTCAGTAGATGTACTAGAAAAAAATGTGAATTTTCGAGAAGAAAAGAAAGGAAAAAAGTAAGGCAGTGAGGAGAATGTAGTCAGCACTCTGAACATTCATCAAAGGTGCGCCCTTAGTGTAACTGCGCCGTCCTTGTTCGTAGTAACACTAGATAAGCAACACGTTTTTAGACCCGAAGCTTATAATAGCTAAGATTGGAGAATTTCAAGGTAACTTGTACAAAGAGCTCTAGGCTAGAATAAGCGAAAGCGAAAAATCGATAAAGTAACTGTATGAACGGTACAACCAAAGTGCTTGTCCCAGTTAACAAGTTTTCAATGTCACTGTCGAAAGATGATTACTCATTATTCGAGACATCGTGCCATAGTTGGTTGTCGTTAGCAAGTTCTAGTTGAAAAAAGTAATACCGACTATAATGATATCATCAAAAATATGTGATTTAAACTTAGCTTCAAAGTTTTCTTGTATGTGACCACACACCATGAACCCATGGTGTAACAACATGTAAAGACCTTTATATCACAGAATAACCTGAGGCAAAAATAAAATAGCAAATTACAAAAAAGTGACGGCGAGATTCACTTTAGCAGAAAACATTTTACTACCATTACGAATTCGGAGAATCACTGGTGAGTCAGATTTCAGATTAACAATCTCTTCCTCAGGTAGCTTGGGAGTCATTGTTTTGAATCGCGGAGTCAGATCGAGGTCTTCTGGAAACAATGGGATCATTTGAACTATTTTACTTGTGTTTTACAAGGCACCTACACATATTAATCGTAGCAGTTTTTGTGAACATGGCTAACAAATGTTAAAGATATATGTAAGAAAATACTAAGAAATATGGAATACCTTGTTGGAACCATATCTGAACTTCTGTATTAGTAGTGAACTGATAAATCATTTTCCGTCTTCCTTTCGGCAGAAATTCTTCCCTGAGCTCATCTCCGGCTTTAACAACTCGAGTGGTAACGTATGGTTCTAGACCATTTGCAGTCCATAGCGATCGTTCATTCTGAATTCGAGAAAAGTGAATGAGCGAAATTGTTGATGAACATTGCGCCCTTTCACAGTTTTTACAAATTTGATCCATCGTCTACTTGATATACAAACTAGTAGGAAAAAATAGAAAATCTTGTTTTCTAAAAAGTCAACCGTGAGGAGTTAGACTGAGAGTACAGTAAAATGTTTTGAGGGCATTTGTACATCCATTTTTCAACAAATGCTGAGTAAACATATCCTTTACAGCTTCGAATTTTCAACTGGTTTTTTCAGCGAGAAATTCAAGAAATTTTTGTAAAAAAAGCTCTTGACAGCACTTTGGAAAAAATCAAACATAAAATGTTGTTCTTGGAAATGGTTCTGCTTCACCAATGTATGCCTCCCCCCCCCCCCCCACCGAGAATGGGTCGCGAAAGTTCTGGAAGTTACTCAAATGAGTTATAAAAATGTCCAAGTGACTTGCTCATGATTGTAACCAATTGAAACAATTTTTAAAAATTCTTCAAAATTCATTTTAGCCTTATGCAAAAAATTTTTCGGGGGCGTTACTGACGCCACGTCCCTTTTATCTGAAATTTCGCGGTTATGGGCCTGCAAAAATTTTAATGAGCTTACCAAAAAAATTTCGAATAACGTGGCTAACGCTGCGTACCTTTACCAGAAAAAAATTTTCGTTGCGTCCCCCCCCCCCCTCTTCAAACGGAAATCCTGGATATGCCATTGGTATGTTTTGATTACAATACAATGTAAAAAAGCTCCGAAAGCTCATTTGGTTTGATTAGCATAAACAGTTTCTCGTCTAAATTTTTTTCATTTTAGTGGCTAAGATTTTAGATACGGCCATATTTTTTTTACCTATACTGACAGATTGTTAATTAATAGATTACAAACCACGTAATCATCCTCAGTAATCTTCGCCGATTTATAGCATCCATTGTCCAATTCGCATGGAATGCGACACGTTCCAGAGAAAGCTGCTGGGATTGCGTTCATACTGTAAAGGCCTTGTGTACGAGTACGTAAATACACAAACGGCTCACCTCAAGTAAACACTCAGTTGATCCGGATATTTGCTGGCAAAATGGAATCTGCTAAGAACCTTGGCTGGCAGTAGAAATGAAATAACCTATAATGGAAATGCGCTAGAAAAACCTTATGATAAGGGAGTATTAGGCAACCTTCCAAACAAGGGTCAGGAACGATGGTGGATTTACGATTATGACAGTTTTCAGGAGTTCAGCATAGTAATCTAACCAGATGTTCACACGAGCCTGAAATTTGCTAACTTCGCAGGGCAAACTCGTACGTCTTGAAAGTCACATGTCAAAAACGTAAGGCTATTCAGTGGTCCCAATTTCACACTTTTTCAAAAAAAATTGCGAAAATACATTTCGCCCTTTTACCATTCGACATGAGTTGAGAAAACTGAAATATTGGTATATCAAGCCTCTTAAGTTGATTGTGCTGGATTGTCGTTGGCTCCGCATGGGTATTCAATCAGACCCCCCCCCCCCCTTATTTACAGCGATTTTCGTGTTTCTTGAGCTAAATTCTAAGGAAGAATTCGAGCAGTTAGGACCACATCACAACAAATCATAGTCGTAGAATCACTCTCCCCCCCCCCCCCGCCCCCCCCCCATGCAAATCTTCGACTTTATTTTTGTAACACTCACCTGCATGAGACAATTGACGGCGCTTGTTGGAGACATATATGAAGTTACAGCAATTCCTTTCATGTCAAAAATGCAGATACCTTAAAAAAATGGTTGCTCTTCAAAGCTACTTGGAATCATTACGATAAAATTTCTGCAAAGTGCAAGCGTTTCCTTCGTAACTTGCGCTGGAATAAGTTTTTTCCACTTTAACTTACCATGTGACGGCTTGCCTGTCTTCCTTTCCTGCTCAAGAACCAAATGTTGAAAATATTCGCAATAACCAAAAAATGATCGTAAGTATTCTCCTACTCTGACCACTTTCATGAACTAAATCGAGTACAGAAGTCGATAAGCGAATGGCAAAAACTTACTCAATAAACCCCACCTTTTTGGGATCTTCTATACTCATCTCCACAAAAACAATGCCGTTATCCTTCTCATTTATCCAATCGGAAGTTAGTCTAGACTGCCTCACATACCTAGCACAATTTGTCTGTAAACTATAATAAGTTCGAGCACAAATATCCTTATATCTTTTTATTAAAAGGTTCTTTGCAGAGGGAGAAGTCCATTAGTATATATTTCAGCACTAGTGCTCAAATAACAACTGTGGGTAAGAATGAGGTACAAGAAAGGGATTGTAACAGTAAAAAAAATAAAACTTGCTTTATCTTCGTACAGCCTCTTTACATTAGCAAAGTCATCGTATCCCAAACATTTTCGAATTCTTGAATATTCTCGGTATTTCTCCGCTGCTCTGGCCACATCCTTAATGAGCGAATTACAAGCATATTCGGTGTGCAAAACTTGCAAAACATTCATGAAAGCTTGGGACTGATTGTGAGTTCACTAAAGTCACTGTCCACATCATAATGGAGTTTATTGTGAATGAGGTTGACATGAAATGTATGCCGCATCTTATGATTTTACTAACTTTTTGACCTTTCAATGATTTTGAACTTTATCCGCACTAAGTATTAGAGGCAACGCATTCATGGTAGTGTTTTCTGCGGCAAAAAGAGGAACAGTGAACAAAATTCTGAATTTAGCTAGATGGGAAACTGAATGTCGCGATTTGCGACAATGTATCGCGTCTAAAGTATCTACAGAGCTAGAAGTATGTAGGTCAACCTTTCTTCAACATAGTTCTATTATCAACACCAGATTATGAGTTTACTAGTACATATGTATGTATACTATGTTATGTACAGTATGTATGGATATATAGTATGGTGGTCCCGGAAGTTTTGTCCGTTATCAGACACTTAAACTCATAGAACAATGGTCGACTGAATGACGAATGACTTAGGCACCTTTCAATTCAGATTTTTGTGTTTTCTGTCTGACAGATGCAGTAGCTGCAATCTTACCGCTAGGGCTCTTTGAGCAGTTTGATAGTAATATCACCCTAATTTTCAAAAATTTATCCTAACATTTTGAACAACTTCTAATAGATGTTTTGTGTGAACCTTTCGCTATATCATGCTTACTGCATAGAGGAATTATTTGAGATCTACAATTAATGTTTATCTGGAAAAAACTCCGGATTGTTGAGCTCGTGCAACGCATAGGATACCAAATACCAAAACGCTGAATTTTCGAGGAATCAAACTTGATTTTGCACTAGTATATTTTGGTAGCAATCGTCAACTTGTAGAAACAACGAAAACTTTCAAATTTGCAGTGTGTATCATTATTTTACCGAAAATCGACAGATCAGAAGAAGTACAGCCGTATCGTCTGAAAGTTTTTCTATTTGTATCATATCTACCAATTTCCGCAACTGTGAAAAAAATTCCTGACAATTAGCCAATTTTGAATAGAAGTGACAAGTGAAGAATTCTGGCGATCATTGAGAAAATTTGAAAAAATTAATTTTAGAAAACGTATAAAAAGGAAAAGAAAGCTGCGTCAAATACATGCTAGGACGCATCCTTTTCATTATGCAAGGTTTTACGCCGTTTGAAAAACGGGCAAAACTTTCGGGACAACTTGGTAATAATAACCGTGTAAACGAGGTTTTATTCTAGAGCTTGAATTTTTCCGAAACGGAATAGGGGGAACTGTTGCGACTGGGCTTCTTTGTTCGCATGCGATCGGAATAAAATCTTGAAGACTAAGAAAAAAATCTAGTCGGAACGCGAATCAAGATCGCAATTCTCAGTGACCGCAAGCTTCGTATAAGACATTCATCAAAGTTTCTGCCCAACCTGTCATTGCAATGCGCATTGCCTCTTCTTTTCAGAAATAAAAAACTTGCATTATTGACAAGAATGGGAGAACGACCATGACAAAGACAAAGCTTTCGTGCCAACCAAATACATAATACATTTACAAATTATTTGGATATGCACTGACCCCGTCATAACCGTCTAACCACCTCTGCAGGTGGAATGTAGTATCATGCTCCGGGCTGAGATCGTCTGATAAAGCTGTCCGAAGAGATTCCTCGCCAGTCATACTGCTCTTCCAAGTGGACCCTATGACATCAGCTCACTAATTTTTGCCAAGGAATGTTTATAAAAGCCGACAGCAGTGTAAGATAGATAAGAGTTAGCCTATGTTTTTCGCATTGTTTGGTGAGATACTACTGCATAAGAAGTCTAAATATCAAATGTTGCTATAATGAAGCAGGTAAACAATCATTTTTTGAGCTAAGTTTCTTTGCCACATTTTCATATTAGACAGCTTGAAACTTCTTTTTCTCCAACAACTAATCGAACTGATATCGTTGTCAGAATTATTTCGTCTAATGCAAATTTTCATATCAGTATAGCAAATAATCAGAGACTATCCTGTTCATCATGAGGACACGAGCATAGAGAAAGCAAAGCATAAAGAAAAAACTCATCCATGCATATTCTGGGAAAAAGCATGCAAAAACGGTCAAAAGAAAATTCACTACTAATAAACGACAACTCTCAGAGTTTTGATGCGGTTATCGGTCACCTTAATCAGGCAGATGCGTCTCCTTTTTGTGCTCGGATTCTGGGATTTCTTAATTAAAAAATTTGCAGTTTCAAAACATTTAGAAAGAAGGCAGGGGTCAGCCAACAGCTTTCGAAGAGGTCGTCTCAAAAATTCAATGGTCATCGAAAATTGAATTATTTTATGCGATTTTTTAGGGTTTTGATTCTCGCCCCAACGCTTTATAGATGCCGAGAAGGGTTGTTGCTCCCTAAGCTCCTTTCGTGCAGTGATGCTTGCATGGCAAGCTATTCAAAAATCTTTGAGAAGGCTTTTTGAAGGCTGCATCTGATGTACACTAGCCCATGTTCTCCTTGTGGATTCAATTCAAATTGAAAAAAATCCTATCTTGGCACTGGGAGAAAAAATTGTGAGACTAGAGAAATTGAGCTAGTGTGTATATCGCTGTAACAGCAGCCATTATATTAGGTTGAACCGAAAGTTCTGTCGCACCATTTCCAAAAAATCATAACTTCTTTCGGTCACGACGATTTTGCGCAATTCAAATATTGTCTGAAAGCGTAAAGCATGTAGTTTCCAAAAGCTCTCTAGCGAGTTTCCGATATGCTCAGGTGGCAGAGATAAAAATGAAAGAACGAGGTCATCCGAAATTCGGAATTTTTAAGCAAGAATTCTGAAAATTCAGAAACAGTGCGTTAAATTCCAGAAAAGCCATTATCCTAATTTTCTGTATATTTGATTACTATCTGAGTCAAGTTTGTGCTGATTGAGCCCTTCTTTCAAAAGTTATGGATTTTTGAAAAATAATGCCGAAAAATCACTTTCCTGAGTATTCTTAGGAAATTGATTTTTCGGCATTATTTTTCAAAAAATCATAACTTTTGAAAGAAGGGCTCGATCAGCACAAACTTGACTCAGATAGTAATCAATTATAAGGAAAATCAGGATAATGGCTTTTCTGGATTTTATCGCACTGTTTCTGAATTTTCAGAATTCTTGCTTGAAAATTCCGAATTTCGAATGATCTCGTTCTTTCATTTTTATCTCTGCCACCTGAGCATATCGGAAACTCGGTAGGGAGCTTTTGGAAACTACATGCTTTACGCTTTCAGACAATATTTGAATTGCGCAAAGTCGTCGTGACCGAAAGAAGTTATGATTTTTTGGAAATGGTGCGACAGAACTTTCGGTTCAACTTAATATTTGCTGAAGGAGCTTTACTTAGAAAAACGCAAATCTCACTTCAAGAGAAAAAAATAAAGATACCCAACCGGCAGTGGCGTACCGAAGGGGGGGGGGGGGCGGGGGGGGAGGGCGCCCCCCCCCCCCCCGAGAATGGGTCGCGAAATTTTTGAAAGTTACTTAGTGTTGAAAAAATGTGCAGAGGACTTGTTTTTACTTGTAAATAATTAAAATATTTTTTAAAAATTTTTAAAAATTCAAATTAGCCTTGTAAAAAATTTTTTTCGGGGGCTCAGGAGCCCTGAAAAAATTTGGAGAAACATCCCAAAAAAATTTTCGGAGTGCCCTTCATTAGAAGAAATTTTTTGTCCCCCCCCCCCCCCCCCGAGCCGAAATCCTGGGTACGCCACTGCCAACCGGATATATTGAATATTTACAGCTTGCGCATATACGTTAGTGAAGCAACCAATTCAACTATAATCCGCTGTGGAGTAGTTACAGTTCACGTCCCTTACTGACATGCCTGATAAGCTAAGCGAAAAAATTTTAATTGGATTTATAAGCACGAAAAGCGGCTATGTTATCCCTGTTCGGGGCAACTCAATGTGATTTGAATGGAAACAAATCTATCCGCTACACTCTTCCGTGCTGAAAAATCGAACTCATTAGCTTTATAGAGATTTTCTACATTTGATATTTGAGGCGAAACAGTTTAGTAAAGAATGCCTAGCGATTATTTTAGCACAAGGCAGTTTATTGCTAAGACATCAACGTTTACGGAAAATCAGCAATAAGACTAGATCCTGTCGATTTTTTTAGAGCTCGGCTCAAAACAATTGTGTAAATAATTATGAGTATTCACTAGTTAATGGAAAAAAGAATGAAATTCGCGCTCTATGGATGACGGAATCACAGGAATGGGAAGAAACGCAAGAATCACAAGAATTACAGTAATCACAGGTTTAATGTGGACCCCTAAGTTGCGAGGCTGGATAAACAACAATGGATATGAAAATATGTAAGGTTGAAAATGCTGCAAAAGATCGTCCCGAAAACATCACAACTGTGGCAAGGAACATTTATACTTAATTACAAGTAGACATTTCCTTTTATCTGTTGAAGGAACAAGGAAAGTTACAAGAAAAAGAGAGAGTGGAACAGATTCTGAGCGCCCGGTATTGGTATAAACCAGCTGTTGCGAGCGAAAGCACACGAATGGTGAGTGAAAAGGAAGATTGCGATTCAAGTAGAACCAGATCAGATCCATGCTAACGAAGCATTACATCCGAAAAGTTTTGCTAATATTTTAGGTGGAATTAGGCGAATGCTGTAAGCTATCGTGTAGCTGATGAGACTAGAATTAGCAGCCTTGAAAGGGATCGGATTATAGCTGTTGGGAGAGAGATGACGCGAAAGTGCGATTTTCGCGGATAGAGGTGGGATTCGGTTTGGTGACGGATTGAAGCGACCAAGCGTGTCTCTTCAATCGCTCAGCACACTCGATCCAATGTTGCGATCGCACCTGCATAAATTTGCGGCCCTTTGAAGGCCCAAATTCTCTGAGCGGCCGAGTACCGAAAGGTACCGAGCATGAAAGCAGCTGCTGATCAATGCGATGGAATCAAAGACTGACGATGTGCTGCGAGTGACCGTCGAGTAAATCAACAAGCGAACGCGAGCTAATCACAATAACCTTTGTCATGTGGCCCACCTTCACAAGTACTTTTGCGTTGTTGCTCTGCTGAAATGAACCATGTACTCTACCTATCGCCTCGCCCTACCTACAGGACTCTGGCAAATTTGAAACGGGAAACCGTTTCTAAGGAGAAACTGTGGGGGTTCTCGGGCGAAGAACCCAAAAATCAAAAGTATTTGAGAAACGACAATAATTAGGTTGGCTAAAAATGAGTTTGCTTTAGCATGCATAACTTCGTAAAAATTTGGTCTGTTGTTCTTTAAATATGATTTTTTTGCATTGCAGTAGCTTCCAGCTTCTACATAGTATATCTACTACTTTATTTTTACTTGTGCGCCTACGATTAGTCAAAAAGTCTAAGCAATAGTTACAGGAAATGAAACGCTACACATTAAAAATAATGGACTGATCAATAGTCACTAAGTCCAGAAAGAGGTGATATTACCAAATTAACACGAAATGAAAAAGAATTATAGTAGCATCCAAAGATTATCATTGGTGAACTGTTAATTTCAATTTTAAATTTGATTTTAACTTATAATTTTTTATCATCAATCAAGGACATTTACGCCCGAACATGGCTTTCCATTCAGATTTTTGAAATTCTAGTTTTCGTTTTCATGTCGTGACGGATTTAGAGATTACTAATTTGGTGAATATGGATACAGGCAGGTTTCCTCCATGTAGAAACAATGGAAATTGTATCTGCCATTTCGAAAATGTGCAAAAAAACGAATGATTTTCACAGACGCACAAGGAAAAATTGAGGTATCTCATTTCTTTGCGTTTTTCCTACACTGAAAAATAAATGCTACTTGAATAGAATTCATATTCCAATCTCCACTAAAGTGCTCTTTCCAGAGAAACCGGACGGACAGAAATTTGGCTCAAGCATTCGTAGAAGCCGCAGTGACCGAATTTAGTTATTAGCCAACCTAATGACTTTTCTGAAAAATCTTTATGTGCTCATAATTTTCTCCTGCTTCATTCTTGTGATGCTTACTTTCTAAGAATTGCATTGTGAGGATGATAGTGACAATTCAGCCAGATCGAATTCTTTGCAAGCGAATTAAACTGCATTTATTTGATAACACGGTTGAGCAACGGTATGTCCTCTCCAACGGACCTTACATCATCTCAAGCTAATGTGGAGATAGTGCTAAAAAAAATTTCTTCGCGACCATAGAAAATCGTGCTCCTATTGATCAAAGCTCACCAAGCTCAATTGGTTCACTTTCATAAACGACAATTGATACGCACATATTTTTGATATATTCATGGTTGTATACGTCATATCTGCCCTAAAAAAGGCCGTTGGGTCAAAGTTTTCAGAGCCATTAAGAACCATTATTCTCCGAAGTCGTACAGAGCGTTGAGGGCGTAGATGACGTCCATGACCGTTATAGCCCTAGCGTGCTCGCAGCGACAACGAACTCCCAGAATCAGATTCGGAAGCAAGCTTTTTTTAGGTGTTTGTATTTCTTATTTATTCTTCTCAGAAGTTTATCAAGCCCAAACCGTCTCAAGGAGAAACCTATCAATAAAAATGAAGAGAACAAAAATCTTTTGGTATTCGAATGGGAATGAAGCAATCCTGTGGCCGTATTCATCAACGAACCCTCGAGGTTAAAAGTTACCTCAGCTAGCATTTTAG